AACAATTATCGGAAAAAACGATTAATTGACGGAGTAATTAGAAGTCCCAATTTTGGAGTAAATTATCTTTTCCAGACAGTCCATCCGGGCCTTAAAGAATTGCAATATTTTGATGAAATTAATTTCTTTGTTAATTGAATTTAGCATTTATAAATGTTGCATCAATATTTTGAAAAAAATGATGACACAAGTTGTGAAAAAATGTAGAGCGTCAAATTCAGCGGAAAGAGCGATATCAAAACGATGAATGATGTACCCCAGATGGGTCTCACTAAATTTAAACTTGTACGCAGACGAGAAAATGCAATCATCATACATATTGCTTTTTTGAGGTTCATGATTAAAAACATGAATTCCCATCAGTCGACATCAATTACTCATCCGACTGATCAACAACAACAATAATAAAGAGTGAAAAAAAAGAAAGACTCCATTCTATCGAACTGCAATATTACGCTAACAAACATTACGCAATGAAATGACGCCGAAAATATTCTGTAACTGTAACATTATTTCAGATCGAGACACAATGTCTGAGTCATTTATTCAATGGGTATTTCCCTGGAAATTAAATCGATGTATAGATTTCAGAAAACAGTACGAGCACTTAACAAACGAGGCAAAATTATTATATCGATCCCTCAGATGAAATCTACATTATTCATTTTCTTTTATCAAAATATACAATTGCAATTCAACATTTCTTTTCAAATTATTCAAAACAATAGCGTTCTAATTAATACCCCAATTGATTAATTATTAATATTCAAGGTTTTCATCGAATTCCTACAATTCTTATAAACTGTAATAAATTTAAAAAAACTGGAATGTAAAATGAAAGGAAAGGAAATGAAAGGAAATGAAAAGAAAATCCATGCGGTATACAATCATCAAGATGGAATAGTAATTAAATGTACGGTTTTAAAATAGATGTAAATAAATAAATAAATAAACGACAGATAATGAGGCAGTGTTAATGATGTGAACTAGCAATATTGCGACCAAACGGCAACACCATCCTCAATTCATATTTCCATCTGGATTAATGGACTGATTAGAATTACGCTGAACCAATCTAGGAAGTTGCGACTCATCTCAAACAAGGAAGCCGGTGCTTGTTAACACCTGGGTAGTTACAAGTCTATCTCTATTTCTCCGACTTTAGCTCACAATGCCACATGCCCCACCAGAGAGTTCCACACCCACACCCCATTCCAACCCAGCAACTATGCTTTCAGGCGGCTGTGACCACCAAGGTGTTAATGTCAGATTACCAAGGTGAAAACTCGTTTTCCATTAGTTGATGACGGAATACTCGCGAGATTAGAGATACCAGGGAATTAGTTCAATCTTTTCTACCCTATTAATTACCCAAATTATCGATGAGGATTAGACGCTGGCTTTCCGGACAATTCATCATTATCGGATAAGCCCGTTAACAGTATTGAGATTGTCTCCGGATAATTAATTAACAATTCAATATACCTTTTTTAATAAAATAAATTGTTGAAAAAATTGGGATAATTCATGAGAATTACGTTCTCCATCCAAGAAAAATCGGAGTTTTACTTGAATTTTAAGAGAAACTTGAAATTACAGGACTTTTTATAGGAATTAAAGAACTTTTTCTGGAAAATTGAGGAGAGTAGAGGCAAGGGGTATTCGTTTTGTTTCCTAGTTGAGCGTCCAAGGGATATCTCGGAATCTAAACGGCACAGTGTAATTTTCTCCCGGAACCTCCTTTGTAGAGTGTAATGAGGTCTACAAGAAAAGTCCTGACAAAAATTTCGTTATCGCCTTTAGATTCAGACATATTCCCTGAAAACTTGCTTATTAATTAAATCGAATTGTTCTTTTCTTTTTCTGTGAATTTTCTGGATAATCTTGTCAGTTGGTAAATGAATTTTTAAATTATCGGTGCAGTTTTCTGGATGTTAAATTATCAACTTGCTATTTCATGTCCACTGGGATATCCCGTAAACGGAAACAATAGCGTTTCCCATGAATTCGCATTTTCTTTCTCGCCACTTTGGCCAGCGGAATTCCGATGGGAATCGATGGTGTTTTGCCCCTGGCACCACACCATTCCCACCGACAACTTATTAATGAGATTCAATTAGAGCTGTCACTGTAGATAATAATGTTGCTTCCTTTAATTTAACTCTGCATAATCACTTGATAATAAACGACGTCATAAATTGTCGGAGAGATTGCAAAAGCGCCGGAAAACATTAATAAAGATTTGAAAAGATTAAGAATCAACCCCCAACGACGTCACTATCCATAAGTAAATCCATAAGGGCCATTTGACAGCTCATTAAATAAGCTTCAAGAAAATACGCGAATCATCTGATTCCCATTATTTTTCAACGAGTTATCACGTTTTGAAGGTGAAAATGCGATTTTCATGTTTTACAGAAATTTCCACTTTCGTTCAGTTTTTTTGGATTTCCGAAGTAAATACACAGGAATTCCTGTATACAATTTTGAAATTTCAATGAGCTCTTGTCAATGCCGAGCATTTTAATGTTCCAATTCCAGCGATTGAATCAAGAGTTATCGGCGATTGAGCCTCGAATTTCACGTGTCATTTTTTGAAAAATAATCATTTTGCCCAAATAAAATCCATAATAAACTCTGTTATTCTCGCAAATGCGCAGGTATTTAATTTTCATGGAGAGCCTTATTGAATGTGAACTGATTGGATTCACTTACATGCAAAGTGGCTAGCATGACTAGTTCCCGAAAGAAAATAAATCACTAGAAACCATCAATTACGAATATTATACTATTCATTCCCCAGAAAAAAAGGACCGCAGAGTTTTGAATGGCCTCTACCGAGTTTTATCATTTCACGAGCACAGCAAATTGGCCTCTTGATTATACCAAACTCAAATAGAACCTCAGCAAGTTTTCACCGTCAAGTGTACCTGATTTTAAATATAGTCTCACTGCGCCCTCCAATGAATAATTGAAAAACTTTTTCAAGTTGATAACGAAACTGAATGACGAATAAACAGGTAATCGAGGATGTTGAGAGTTTCGTACTTTAGTTGGTAACTATTGTTTGAGCTTGGAATATTCAGTTTGTACATGCAAATTTCAATTTATTATGATAATTACTCACCTGAATAGTAGGAACCCGAGACCTGTCACTGCAGCACGACGCACATCGTCGTTAACGTCAGAAACCTTCAAGAAGAATTCAACAAATTAGACGAGAGCTCTAACTGAATAATTAAAGATGTTCACTTATTTCCAGCCAATCCTATCATTTCCCCCCGGCAATTTTTCTCTGCTTTATTAATCGCAATACTCTCTCCAGAGACAAACAGCACTTATAAATTATGATTTAATACAAATATTTTATTCAATTCACTATTACTGTATTTATTGATGATATTTATTTTTATACGGACAAAACTGGAGAATGTAGAGTGAACTTCAATAGTTGAAATGCCATTATTATAAAAAATTCTAAAATCTGGGCTCAAATGGGGATTAAATGTAATCTCTGATGTTTTCTACGAGCGCTGAGTGGATTCCAATAAAAGAGAAATGTCCGAACAACTTGATGTCCTCTGCGGGGATTGCCAGAGTATTATTTTGTCTCTGGTGCATTGAAGAAAAAAAATGACACGGATTGGAAATTTTGCATGCTCGGGTTTATATCCCCCCATTGCACGTAACAGTTCAGCTATTCTGGAGGGAATCTAATCAGTTTTTTGATGACTGGACGCTCGGCCAGTGATCACCTCTCTTCGGAATTGGAAGAGGAAGCCAAGTACGAGAGGAAGAAAAGATAAAAGTGGGACAACATCTTCAAAGTGCTTTAAGGGCACTAAAAGCCAATAGAATTTGTACACTTGATTGAGTTATTGGATCCATTACTGGAATATCTCAATAATCTAGTTGTGTGCAATATATCGATTGGTTTCAGTCCCTCACTGTCTGGATAAGTGTCTCTTTCCACGATTTTACTCCCAAATTGGGCTATTCTATCAATCAATTACGAATTTTTCCATTCTTCATCAAGTTTCAGAGATAAAAAGTTAAAGGTCAAAGTTTCACTCAAATTCATAATTAATCAGCTGTAATGGGCGAATGAATTCGTTAGTTTAGGTACTCAATATAGAAAAATTGAGGAAATGTCATTTCAGACACCAAAAAATACCAATAAATAGATAAATTCCAACAAAATAGTCGATATTAACTGAAGTGTCTGCACGATGGAAGCTATACAAGTTATTTCTGAAGGGATAACTTTTTCATAAAATAACTAGTCGCTAAGCGAAAGTAAACTGAAGTAATTCATTTGAGTGTCGTCATCCAAGTTAAACAAGTCAAGTATTGATCGAGAAAAAAAACTCACAGCAACATGAAGGAGTTTTCGAATCGCCTGATTATTTCCAGTGCCACAATATGCCATCGCCAGAGTGTACATTCCACTTCTCCTCAGGATTGGATCCTTGTCAGCACACAGAGACGTTACGAGGGGATCAGCTTCCTCAAGGCGTCCATACATCGTGAAGGCAATGCCCACAGCTAGGCCACGTAGAATTTTCTCGTGCTGAGTCTCCTGGGCGTACTGTGGATCACGAGGGGTTTTGTACGTCATGATGAGAATAAATAACAAGGGAATAACATTTTTATTGGGGTAATCAGGAGATTCTTACAGCAACCATGTCCTCAATTGCCTGAGTTGACTTCGATCCAAGCATCACCATTCCCATGGCTATTCCAGCAGCCTCTCCTGTCACCGCATCGTCCTGGTACAGATTGAATTTCAGCTGCTCGTAAACGTCCTGACGATGGGACCCCATCGCCGCCAGACCCAAACCCAAACATCCACCATGACGAACCATCTGAGAACAAAATGCCACTTTGGAATTTTTCCTTCATTTTTCGGTTTCTCCAATTTTTGACGGCTTGTTTCTTTGAAAAAACGTGGATCTGCCCCTCGAGTCGAGGTGAATAAATGTGAAATCAACAATTGTTTGATATAAAAATCAGATTTTTGTAAAAATTTTCGTAATTATTCTTCCCGAAAATTTATTAATTTGCCTCTTCAATAATTCTAATCTGGCCTATAGTCTATTGACCCGTCACGATTGACTGATACCTCATTCTGAGCATCCTTCAGCTGTCCAAGGAGATAATCCGTGATAGTAGCCCCATGATTGGCGTGAATTAAACCAAGAGCATACAATCCACCGCCCTCTGAGTATCCAGCACCAGCTCCAGTATCACGAGGTAGATACGATTGCATGAGTGCGAGTGCTTCCTGCTCATGGCCCCTATGAATCACCCCGAGGGATGCAGTCGCTGTCAATTTGGCCCAGTTCGTTGCTCGGGCCAGCCATTCCAGATTATCTCTGCGTTCGTAAACATTTCCATGGTGATGATATGTATCAGGTACACGTGTGGGGGAATAAATTAATCACTCACCTCAGGAATTGATCGCTGGTGGTCCCTGAGTGCATGAATGCATTGGCGATGACAGTGGCAGTGTGACATATTGAAACCCTGATAGCATCCTTCGTGTTCTTCAGTATGAGCATGTCAGTGTGATTGCTCCTGATGAGGAATTGCAAGTGAAGATCGATTGACACTTCACCACCTAGAATACTGGATAAGGCGTCCACACGCTCCTGTTGTTCACGTTCTTCAGTTGTCTGTGAAATTTTATTAATAATCAAATAAATTAATTTAGATTAAAAAATAAATTGCCTTCATAATCACAATTTCTCCCTTTTCTTATTTTCCTATTTTGAAACAGTCAGAAAATATCTGTGAAGTGAAGTTTCGAAAGCAATCGTCTTGAGTACTAAAATGAATGAATTTACATTCGGGAATAATCGATTTATTTATCATCTTTATGTTCTTTTTACCACTGTTGACAATGGACGAACTGGATTCACTTGAAATAATAAATAAGCCCTGATTCGCCCATTTCCACGAAAATTTCAAATTCCTGTTGTTTCCTTCCAGCAAAAAAAAACGAAAGCCAAACAAAATAGATAGCACCCCTAATAAAGCAGCTCTGGATTAAATCACCGACGGAATTTGTATTTGTTTCATATTTGAATGCATGAATATTCAGAGAATCTCCAGGAAATCAATTCCGTCTCACGAGTTGGTCTCCAGGAGTCGGATGTTCACATTTAAAAATCAAATAATCACGTAAATGAAATAAAAAAAGAAATTTACCAAACTCTCAACACTGCGTTCGACCTTTTCCTCGACAGGACTTGAGTTTTCGGTGACCACAGGGGATTCAGCAGTGGCTTCAGTGGCTTTAACAGTTGGTTTAACAATGGGTTTGACCATGAGAGCACTGGGAATGGGCGCAGTGGCTCTCAATGCCTGGAGAACTCGTCCCAGAAATTGCTGAGTAGCTGATTCATAAAGATCGAAGGCAATCTGATAAGCCATTAGGACGCAATCCTGTGATCCCTTGCTGAGTCGATCCAGAAGTTCAGCCACAGCCAGTGGATCATCCAAAAAAATCAAGCACTGACACATGTTAACGTAATCCGGGGTTCCTAGATTTCTGTAGAGATTCACAAGGCATCTCAAGACGGTATTCCTGAAGCCTCGATTCTGGATCAGACTCATGGCAACCTGGAATGCGTAGGAGAGCATTCCAGCGATGTCCTCGGATTGCATTATTGAAGCCTCGAAGATGTCCATGCGTCTCGTCTCCAGGGCAAGCCCCAGAGCTTGACGATATTGGTTGTCATCCAAGCATCTCTGGAACATTCGATTTACGATTCCCTCCAGTCTAGGGTCAATACCTTTGTAACCTGTTGCAGTATTCCCCTCTGCCTCCATCACTCGTTGTTGGGTATAATAGTCGATGCATTTTGCTATCGTCGTGTCCACGTATTCGTTCCTCGCGTTCACGTCGAATAATTCACCAGCTCCCAGGGCGTACGTCAGGGAGTCCTCGAAGCTTCCCAGGTGGTAATAAACTTTACTCGCGACGAGGGCTGCCAGCTCGTGCTGGTTGAAACTCTTGTCCTCGTGGAGAATTTCACTGGGAAGAAAAAATTTATTCAAAGTTGCCCGCGAGTTCTTGGTTTTTTGGGAGTATCTTCGAAACACTTCGATTATCTTCGAGGGACATGGAGAACTTTTTATGATACCCTTATTTGTAGATCTCAATTAGCTACGCAAAAAAGATTCTGACACAATATTTATCATGACATTCATTTGGGTAGGTAATTGAGACGAAAATCTTGGAGTAGAACATTTTGATTTACACTCACATTTTCTCGATAGCTTCGGAAATTTCTGGCCAGAATTCATCCACAATGAGATCCAATTTTTTCAATGCAAAAACCTTGAGGTCCGGCATAGGCTCCTCCAGGAGGGAAATTATGCCGGCTGTCAAAAAAATTAATACATCATTAGAACCTATTTCTTTACAAAACCCTCTGGAGTTTATCACTGGTAAATTATGATAAGTCGCGATTAATTAAAATAACTAATCCAATAATAGAATTTTTTTAATCTCGGATTTTGGGGTTAGGGCCTCCAAACCTGCAACTCATCCTCTGCATTTGCATGCAGAATAAATGATAACTGAAACAAATTGCTTCATTTTGTTGTAATAATCGAGGCATTATTACCTGCTGAAGTAATATTCATCTTCATTGGCCTGGGATTCGCGTTAAAGACACAGAATTCTGGGGTCTCACAGATAATGCAATTGATGAAGCACTTGTGAACAACGGGAATTCTAGGTTGTCAGTTGCCAAGATTTGACACAGGTTAGGGATGGACGATCATCATTTAGTAAAACGTTCATGAGGACGGGGTACGCGTATCGGATGGTAGATGGTAGTACAAAAAATCTCGTACAAATATCCGCGCCAATTACAAACGAAACATTCATACAGTATAAAACAATGTCACCATTAGGTCCAAGAATAATCTCCTCTTCGTTAAAGTAACGAGTTAGTTTTTACCCGATATCTGGATATTGAAGAAAGATAATGATGTGCTCGTGAATAACTTTTTTGTAGCTCTCATCCTTTTCTATAAAAGATGTTTAGATAAAAAATCCGCTATGGTCCTTTAATTCCAAGATATTAATTAAAAACTGGCGTCGAAAAAAAATGCACTTATCTCAGTTTACCATTTCGCTACTGAGTTATTCCCCGATCATAATATTCTGGGAGTTATTAAATAATGGCAAACCAGAAACTTTATATTTTTTTACGTCAATTGATAATTTGCAAAAAAAAATATAATTATTCAATAAACGATCATTTTACTAAAATGAAGTCGAACACTTTGAAGTTATGGAACTTTTTATAATCTTCTCGTAAATTTTACGATTTGTTTTTCAATTTAAATTCGCTGTTTCGATTTGTTCATTCCATAAAAATAAATTACTCGTCTAATGACTCACTACTGTAAGTACAACATATAATTCCGCGATTGTTGCAAATGATAACTGAAATTTACGGACCAGAACGTAAAAATGATTTGTCTTCATAATGATTACTGAACGCGCAAGATTTTTTTACTTGGGGTTCATAATACGTCAAGAGATTTGAATGAGTTGCTGCCCACATCTTTTAACTTTTGAAATTTTTTTTACAAATTTCCTGAAAACTGTTGATAAAATTGCCGTGAACGAATATTCCATTTTCACGTCTTATTATTACTGAAAATCTCAGAAAGTTTCATTGCTGTGAAAGAACTTTTCTCCTTTCTCCCACCGAAAATGATCAAAAATTTAGAAAAATAGACGCACGTCTATGGAAATATATGATTCATCGGGTAAAATGTATCAGATAAAATTTTTCACATCAATCTAATCCACGGTATCCCAGAAATCCACAACAAATATGAAAAACGAGAAAATGTGGGAAAAAATTCCTCAATAAAATGTGACACCGCTGCACAGAAGAGCAATGACAAACGGAAAACTCCATGCTCATATGTCCTCAGTAGCAATCACTCACTTATCCTTCAATCGCTCCGTAAATTATGCTGCACAGATGGGTATATAAACCGCTCAATTGGTATGATCAAATACAATTTCAAGGAATTCCACCAGATATACCATGGACTTAGAGCCTATCTAGTCTTCACGAGTGAAATTATTTCTGGAGCTCTAAAAAACAAATACGAATGGTACGTACACGAATTCCTCAAGCTAATTCAATAATTTCCAATAAAGTAAACCAATAATTATTTCAAAGAATTCGTACGCGGGAAAATAATTCAGTAAAAATTACCTGTTTTGTGTTTTAGCCGTTCGGAGGAAATTACCACTTAGTAACCGTTATCTAGCCGTTCGAGAAAGAAGTATCTAATTAAATATTTATAAATATTTAGAATAAAAAACTTTTATCTAATTTTTTTTTTTAATTAAAGCGCTAGATACTTTTTACAATCATCAAATTTCTATTGCGAGATCGTTAGCGTCAGTTAAACAACAAATGCCATTTTTTTTACAGTGTATCAACGAGTAGTCTATATAATACGCCAGGAAACATGGGCCCTTTCGAAATATGCAGAATAATAAAAATAATAACATTTCTAATAGTCCGAAAGACACGCGATAGAAATATAATCGGAATTTGCCCTTTCCATGAATGGGGAGAGGATTTCATCGGAGTTTGGCGTTTAGTAAAAGTTTAGTCAGGACGTAGTCGGAGCTTAATGGAGGTTTAACACGGGTTTCATTGTGGATTAGTTCACCTTGCACAGAATTCTCTTAATATTGAGTCAATGTCAACCCACAGTAAAATTAAGTCTAGATTAATGTATTCGATGGGAATTACTATTCATTCGGTTGAGTTAGAAGAGAAGGACGTTTGGCAACAATATCGATTGTATAAATATTCGCATTAATTTTTAATTTATTCACAAGCCTACTCAATTAATGCGGCTGTTCTACAAGAGAAGGAAAAAATATATCTGGTTTATTGTTTGCATCGTCATGATGATGAGTGTGAAGTAGATGATCAATGCAATTCACTTGCCACTCTGTAAAAGTGTCAGGTAATTGCCGGATGTAAATTATTATTGTCGATGCAGCAACCTTGGGTGATCAAGCAAAACCGAGTAACAATCATATAAATAATCCATTCGATTGAAAATCACAGGAATTCTCTTCTCTCATCTCAGTCACCATCGATCGCTCATAGTCTTAAAAGCAGATCAGAGAAGTTTTTTCTCATCCGAACTGTCAATTCTTCGCATTTGCAGAATACCATGGCCCTCGACCAACTTGAGCCCAACGACATCTTCTTCCAGAAAATTTTGCACTATGGAATGCGCGATAAAACGATCCAGGATGTTCTCCTACTAGAGAAAAAACCAGCAACTGCGAAAGGGGAGAATTATCTAAGTTATTTGACTCGTTTCACCCTCGGATACACTTGTGGTGTATCTGACAGGCCTAATGAAAAAAACCAGAAGAAGGTGCATCTTATTATGAAAGAAGAGCCGGAGACCAGTGGTGAAACCTTGAGGTATATACGTGAGGGAAAAATTTTCCACAATGAGAGATATATATTGGAGGAAGTTGTGCCAAAAATTGAGAAACTTGTTGGAAAGAAATTGGGCCCCAAGGTCTATTACTTTTCAAATAATCCATCTGTTATCGTTATGGAGGACCTCATGACACTTGGCTTCCAGAATAAAAATCGTAAAGTCGGTTTTAATGAAGCCGACGTCAGTATAGTGCTGGAAAATATGGCAGATTTTCATGCTGGATCGATATATTTGGAGGAGCAGGTAAACTGAATTATAATTCATTTTTTCCTCCGTCTCCATTACATAAAGGAGTAGGGTAACGTCTTTTGTCGCCGATTTATTTCTACTAGACGTACATATAATATATATAATAAAGAATATTTTTACTGTATTCATTTTGCCAGAATCCCGGCTGTATGTCGGAAATTGAGAATGGCTTCATCGGCCCGAATCTGCCTGAAGGATTTTTCACATTTATTGCATCTGGTGTGAAATCTATCGGAGCTGGCGTCCGTGATTGGCAGAATGGGAGGTTCGTCTCGATATCTGATAAGCTCGGGAAGAAATCAAAAGAAATTATTCAAGAGCTCAAAGTAATATATGAATGTGATGAGAATGAACTGAGAACCCTGAATCACGGAGATATTTGGATGAACAACGTCATGTTTAAGAGTGACAAAAATGGAAAGACTCAAGAGTCTTGTTTCGTAAGTAATTCCAAATTGATCTGACATTTCTACACTGAGAAAAAAATTTCAGTCAAACGATTTAAAACTCGTTCGAAAGATGAGTTTTTTGAGATATATACTCTTCGGAAATTGCAGATTATAGCACGAGCCGAAGTCAAGACTTTCCGCCCTTCGGAGCAACTTTCCACCCTAGGGCGGAAAGTATTGGCTTTCCTCCCATTTTTCAGATGGCAAAACACGAAGTTTCCTTTGCAGGCATGTTAAAAAATAGCACGTGCACCTTGGGTGGGAAAACTTTGACTTTCTGCCCTTGATGCACAATATACTATTCCGCACTTGTTATTAAATATCCTATTTTATTACAGGTGGACTATCAGATGTGCGCATGGACGTCCCCTGCATTCGATCTTGTCTATTTTCTTAGCATTTCTCCTGAGTTAAATTTGAAACTAACTCACGAGGATATATTTTTGAAAATATATTTGAAACGATTGGCAAGCACAATGAAGAGACTGGGCTGCAAGGCGAGGACTCTTACATTGGAAGAGTTGAAAAAATCCATGCACAAACGTCGTGCTTTGGCCCTCATGGCGGCCCTCGTCTACTATCCGAAAATGATAGCAGAGGATGACGAAGTTGAACCCATGGATGATATAATGACGAAGGGTGAAGCATTGATAGATCTTTTGAAGAATCCACTGACCAAGGAAACCATGGCCAAGATCCTTCCGATATTAGATCAAAGGGGTTACTTAGATTGAATTATCTCACGGATCAGTAGACTCTACTCTGTACTCTACTCTACCGAGTAGAGGATGCATTACAAAATGAATGACATGGGAGAGCTAGATGATTAATGTCGTTTTATGTAGAATAATAAAATTGTTGAATATTTGTTAGTAATGAAAGTTTTGGGAAATTAGACCGGAAAAATAGAACTATTTTTTTTCAGGACTGGACTATTTTTAAATCACGGATCTATCCGGATCTTCTCCTTTGGACTATAATTTCTGGTCACACGTTCGAAAAAATATATAATTTCTACTCCATTCGTTTATAGAAGCAAATGAATCTTAAATCGGTTGTTCCAAGGAGTGAAAAAAACTCATGTCCTCTTTTTTTGCTCGTCCCGAAATTTATTTCAATCTTTTTGTTTTTTTTGCGTAATCCCGAATGGAAGCTTTCGGCCATATTCAAGTTCCCAATTTTCCGTCTATAGTCCAGGCAAATTAGGTCTAACATATGTGTTCTTTCGATCCAAAACGATTTTTATATAGAAATGTGTGTTTTGGTCATGTGATTAACGGGCAAGTAATTTCAAGTGATTTAAGTGTGTGCATTCCGAGAAAAAGATCAAAAACTACCCTTAAAAATGGCCTTTCGCGATTAACTTGGAAACTGCACTAGATGCAGAAAAAAGGATCAAATATAATTTGAAGAGCAAAATATCCCCCATACAAAATATGTTAAGCACTTCATCTCTATTTTGTACCGTTTAACCCCTACAGCCGTTCAAATGTATGATAGGAGAAAAAAATCAATAAAAAATGGAAAAAATATTATTTTTCAATTTCAAATGATGGTAAAAAATATTTAAAAGTCTAAGTAATTATATTTTCATAACAACATAATTTAATCTAAAAAAATTAGTATGAAATAGGAAGGATAACTTCTAATTTAATCGATGAAAAAAGTTTTTTTTTCCTCTATATTTTTTATTCTTAAATATGAAACAAATTTTATCTAAAACATTTTCATCCATTCCTTATATTTTAGAAGGTAGACGCGATTTTGCGATTCCACCCCTCAATAGAACCTCCACTCCGAGAGCCCACTATATCTATATATATCGCATACGTTGCCATACTGCTGTGACATCCCATTTACCCTATGTGTATGCACGGAATGACAACATTGGATATTTGTAAGACCGAAAATGATGGAAAGACCCGTGAAACTCTTTTCGCCAGTTGATCTGTCTCTTTCGATCTCTACCTCTCTTTCTCTCTTCCTTACTCTTTCAAGCAAGGAAGATAGATGAATAATAAATGCAAAATAATGATAAGTGATGATTAATTCATCTATAATTAATCATCAATTATCATTTATCAAATGATTATTGAGATTCGCACAGATAAAGGTAGGCTACAAAGTCCGCCTATGCGGTTTTGTTGTGTAATTTGGTGCATGTATGTGTGTATGTGGGGGGGTTTGTTTATCTCTTTTTCTTCATCAGGAATCGACGGAATACCAGAATTTTCCCAAATGAATATAGACTTTTGAAAGCTGTATCTATTAACATTGATTAGTTTTGAAATTTCCATGACAATTGAGTAGAATCCGTAATTTTTCACTGATTTTTTTCCCCGTTTTTTTTATTTCTTCAAGTAGTTATTATACGAGAAGAATTCATGATCGTTTAAAACATTAATATTAATAGGCTCTTGATCCTATTAGAATATGGAGAGAATCACATCATTTGTTGTTAAGTTATAGCATATTGTACATGAGGTTTGTTTTCTTCATCTTCTCTGTGATCAACGAAAAATATCATGAGTAATATCAATAAAATGACTACTCAATTTTTTTCTCAATGCATTCTTGTTCATGTCAAAAGATGATGGGACAACCCTTATTGTTTTCCAATTTTCAGAAAATCCATTCGCAAGCTTGTTGCTAATTTTTTAACAACAACAGCTATGCGCGGTTCCTTATAATGGCATTCCCCACTTGTTTCGTTTAAAAAAAGGATTGGCATATCTAATGTTGTGTTTTCAGATGAAAATATTCCGTGATATGTTGTTATATTATCAATTGTTTGCGGATAAATGCAAGCAATAACTACACGGAGAGAAAAATACCGGAAAAATTACGGAGCTTTCGCGTATTCGTGGGGTGACCTTGCTTTTCGGGAAAAAGTACTGGAGGTACCGTAAAATTGTCCTGAAAGTTTCGTAAAAATTCCTGCTCGCTACGAAAATTTTGACGGAACTTACAGTATTTTTTCCCGAAAACCAAGGTCACCCCACGAATACGAGAAAGTTCCGTAATTTTTCCGGTATTTTTCTTTCCGCGTACAATAACAAAATACATAAAATACCACGAAGGATGCATATGCAAATGCATTTGAAAAGGAGAATTTCATCAACACCCGACCGGGGCGGCGCTAGTCGACATATAATACCAGTAACTAAAACATCTGTTGATTCACTCAATTACAGTAAAAATATTTCGCCTGTCTCCAGTAAAAAAAACGTAAACAATACCCTCCAACAATATTCTCCTATCCGCTGAATCTGCAATTCTAGACATTCTAGCGATAATGGAAAACAACGGACGACATAACCCCTAGTGTCAGAATGAGTGAGTGAAACGTAAACACACATTCCCCTTCAATAATTCCATCCATTTCAAAGACAATAAAGTAAACCATTCAACCGAGTTATAGTTACGAGTTTCAAAAAACGAGTTAGATTAGTAATTCCAGGAAATTTCCACTCAAGTATTTAAAATAGTTGATGAATTGACCGACCAGCTTAATTTAATAATGGATGTGAGTACATTGTTTCGAGCATGTGTGAAGACAGTGAATTTGCGGAAGGAAGCACTCTCGGAGGAGATCCCAAGAGTTCCTCCAAGAAAACAAAAACCAGAATCAATGTTCCGAGCCAAAACCAAATCTCTTGTCACCCAAATTTCCAAGCTCCAGCAATTTCTCTTGGAGAAGAGATCGGCGTACCTGAACCTCTCGAAACACCTGGCCCTCAGTAATTCAATGACAGACGCAGAGCGTGACGAGATAGACAATGTTTCCCAGGAAATAATGACGACGTGCTCAGGATTGATAAAGGACTTGGAACGTGACACAGCACAAGCTGACATAAGTCAGCAGAACCGGGAACACCGGATGGCAACGCTGGATCTCATAAAGCACTACCTGGAGAACGTCTGCAAGATTTATTCCGAGCAGAGGGCAATTCGTTACAAGAAAATGATGGAGTTGAAGAAGTTGTCCAAGTTGGAGCTTGAAAAGAGCTCCGAGGCGATACTCCATCCCCCAAGGAAGGAGCTGGAGCACGATAAGAGGGATGTATCGCCTTCTGCTGGCTCCAGCCCTCTGAAAGTTCAGGAGATGAATGGAGATGTGTCCCCTGTCATCTATGAGGAGGAGCTCTCTGCAGAGGACATCCAGATGTTTGAGTCTGAGAATGAACAGCTTTACAACGAATTGAATACTATTACTGAGGAGGTCAGGCTCATCGAGAGCAAGGTCGTTCACATCGCTGAGTTACAGGAAATCTTCACCGAGAAGGTCCTTCAACAGGACAGAGATCTGGATAAACTTGTGACAACTGTCGTGGGGTCTACTGAGAATGTTAAGGAAGCCAATGAACAGATTCGACAAGCTATTCAGAGGAACGCTGGCCTTAGAGTGTGGATTCTTTTCTTTTTACTTGTCATGTCATTTTCATTATTATTTTTGGATTGGTATAATCCTTAAGCATTTCTTCTTTTGTTGTCTTTTTATGGCACTTTGCTTTTTGTAATTGGGGACAATAAATTAATATATATATTGTAAAAGGAAGACTCAGTGATTTAATTTTTTGGGGGGAGAAGAGACGTGACAGAGCCAATTCGTAATTTTAATTTGTAAAAGTATCGGTGCATTTGAATTCCCTCAATTTTTCAGCGATGCATTTAATCATATCAATTGTTCATTCGTCGTAAAATAATTTTGGAGGAAAAATGAAAAAAAAAATCAAACAATTGCCAAAATATGTCAATATATTTTTATCGCTTTTTCTTCTTATCACCAGAAAAAATGTACAGTCGCTACGGCTTAGGTAAACAAAAGTTGATACAAGTATTACATATACGTTTACGATTGATAACATTTCTATCAAAGCTCCCGTAAAGAGTCTCAGTTCAAATGTTTCAATTTGGTTCAGTGGAATCCTTCGAATAGTCTTGTATTTGTTTCACTGTGATTCAAGGCGATTCACCTCATTCCCCACTTTTTTCCCTGCCTGCGAGTAACTAATAAATACTCGCCATTTGTCAACAACACAAGATAAATCATAAGTGTAAAATAACTCATCAACTATTTCCCATGGAAACAGTTATAAGTGAAAAAAAAATGAATTTCAACATTAAATGCGACATAAGCCTGTAGACGACAAAAAGGGACACGTCGTACATGAGAAAGAAGAGAAACAATAAAGAAACAAAAAGAAAAACCCGATGCAATTGCATCTGCGATACAATAAATGAATCTGGATAGTTAAGAAATCATTCCTTCTCGCAATCGTATCAAAATGGAATTGAATCCCTTTATTTTTTCGGATAGTTGTGCTGGTAGAGTGGGTGAGCCCCGTATGGCATCATTTTTCCTTCGATCAAAGATTGGACGAGCCAGGTCGTTGTTACCAGGGGAATCTTCCAGCCTGCTGCCTTCTCCTTCATCCAATTAGGACATTTTCCATTAGCAAGGACTACTGTGCCTTCCATGAATGTCTCAGCTGCAAAAAAATAATATATAAACTGTAAATATATAAAATATAAATATAGAGATAATTTGAAATTGGATAAAATTGAAAAAAAAGGGTTTAGGGCTGGTGTTTTGGGGTGAATAACTTACTCTGGTTTTCAATGGCACGAAAAGCCCCTCCGGCATTAACAATGACCCTTTGCCAGAATTTAATAGACCGTTCGTTGGATGGAATCTTTGGCATAACAATCACTGCATGACCTAGGGGTTTAGCATTGGGCCTCTGGTACATATCAACGTATGCTTCTTTGTCGAAACTCCATCCAGCTGGTAAGGTTTCCTCTGATGCGTTCACCAGTTTATTCTCCTGACAGCACCTGATGACCCATCTGTGATTGACCGGATGAATCCCCACAGACAGACAGAGGAGGCTCTTGGCGGTAATATTGGGAACATTCGTAATCAACTTAGTATTCTTATATTCCTCCACAGGAATATCCTTAAACTCCTCATAAACCTTTCCCCCACATCCCGTGATCTGAGCGGTGAGTCTCTCCCTAACAAATGGGATTCTGCTCCACTCGGCTTCATTCTCGGTCTCAGTCTCCGAGTTAGCAGACTCGACCTTCTCAACTTTGTATCTATCCAGAGACTCAAGAGGAGCACAAGTAAGAATGAAGGAGAGTCCCTTGAAGAGACTGGACCCCTCAGGGACAGGTCCCAATGTAGCTATGATCTCCTGATCCTCCTTCTTCCTGCCTTTGGCCTTGCCCTTGACCCTGCTGGCAGGTCCCTTGGTGGCCATGTCATTGGGGGTCTCAACGAGCTCCAGCTGGACACCCTCGACATCAGTATTATCTCCAGAGAAACAGGAATCAGACCCAGATTCTTCCTTCTTCTTCAAGAGAACTCCAGAGCCAGATGCCTCAATGTCTGTGCTCTTGGAGCTCCTCTTGGATCTCCCGGATTTGGGAGTCCCCAGAACACTGGACTTATTCCTCCTGGATCCCTCCACGATATTATCCATGGTGACTTTCCCCATCGACGGAGTGCTAGGAGGGCTCTTAACATCGTTATCTACAACCTCCCTAAGGAATTGTGCTTGATCAGCAGTGAGAAAGATATCCTTGATGGGCACCTTGATCTTCTCCCCCTCATCAGTCTCCACAGTGTATAAAACCTCGTCCTTTACTTTCTCCACAGCAACAATAATCCCACATGAGCCATATTCTTCAGGAGTCATTGCATAAACCGACAGGCCTTCTCCCAGAGTCCTCAACATGGGAATGACAAACTCCTCGATGAGCATCTTGTTTTTTCCATCGAGAAAGTTCACTTTAAACTTACCCTTCGATTTACTGATGACTTTCCCAGGATAATAATTGTTATCGGACCATTTAGCAAAGCACTCCTTCCCCACAAGTGCATCACTGGGGTCGTACACAGGTGTCTGATTTCTCAGGATACTGAGGGATCTCCCACTCTGTCTGGATGGAGTGGAGATTTCTGAGATGAGGGATTCGTTTCCCTCTGTATCACTCTTCGACTCGATAGTCGACAGAACACTTGGGGACATCTTTCCAAGGCCATTTGTCCTAGAGGACCTCGAGTTCTGACGCGAACGCTTCGGCAGTCTACCTTTTTTGCTGCTCTTGGGGGTCGCGACGACAGCAGCCTCTGGAGTTGAGGCTGTCAGTCTACCCAGGGTCTCCTCAGTGGTTCCATTTAGGAGATCACAGGCGAGAACCTCAGCATTGACAAAATTCAAGATTCCCGAGGTGAGAAGATAGACGTTCTTCCACTCTTTCTTAATCTTCTCTGTGGTCTCGTCAATATTCTCCAGGGGTTTCTTTGCGTGCTTGGGAATGCCTCGAGGTAGAGAAAACTGGTTAGCATCTTTCAGCGTTTTTCCAGACCCGCTCGATGAGGAGCTCGAAGTACTTGCTGAGGACATGAGGGAGAGCCTCGAGGGTCCCAACGTATATGGCTGGGGATTGCTGGTGACAGATCCTGGAGATGTTGGATCTTTATTATCAGATACATCAGCTAGTGCAGAAACATCACTGTTTCTCCTTCTGGATACGTGCAGTTCTGGGCAATGCTCAAAGTCAATTGAGAGGAATTCCTTCCCCGAGACTTCCTTCGTAGACTCATTCACTTGAAGAAGACACTTGACTTTCACAACGAGGTTGAGCTCCTTTTCCACTGGAATGATCGTCGCTTTTGGTTTTTCCTCGTTCATAAAGGAGTCTCCCTCGCTGTCACTGACTAAGTTGAGAAGCTCGGGAGGTTTACTAGGGGTCTTCAGAGGCCCCGAGGATTCATTCGTCGACACGGAAATGCTCAGAGTGGTGTCTGAACCTTGAGCTTTAATATCAGTTCCATTGGGCAGCTGATTGTCAGTGGTGTCGCATTCCTTAACACTTGGAACTGATTTGTAGCTATCAGTTGCCGATTTAGTCTCACAAGTCTCGTAGGATGGATCCTTGGGGGTGGAGTCCTCTTGAGAGGCATCCAGGATTATTTTCTCACCGTCCTCGTCGATCTCCACGAGCTCCTTTGGCTTCGGGGGAGGCGCCCTGGCCTTGTCGTAGATTACTTCGATGCTCATTCTTGATTTCTTGGTTGTATCAGGCTTAGGGGCATGTGTGGAGGACTCTGTCTCCATTTTTTCAGGTGTGCGGTCTGTGGGACCAAGGGGAGACGGGTCCGAGGGTTTCTCGGGTGTGGAGGAGGGAGGCTCAGGTGTGGGATCTACTTCCATCGGAGTTTTTGAGGTGTCTTCAGTAATCAGGGTCTCCTGCGGTTTTGTCGAGGCCACAGGCTTTTCTTCGAGGGGAGCACCTGGGACCGGTGGGGAATCCGTCATGGAGGCCTCTGGTACCTCTGCTTGCTGAGACTCTGCACATCAAAGAGATAACGAGATAAAAAACATATAACCATAAATTATGCCATTAGCAAAGTCATGAACCAGGACAGGTAGACTTTTTTTCAACGTCAATTTTAGTTAATATCTCAGGATTGTGAGAAGATAGCGATGTTTCTGCACATATCGTTTTTTATAGATAAAGATAAGAGTGCGAATTAAGAATAAATAATATGTGTTTGAATAAAATGTATACCCTCATCAAGTTTCTTCCTGACTGATGCGAGAGCATCTTCCCTAGAAGAGGTCCTTTGGAACTTGCCACCCTGGTCCACCTCTTCATCAGCTTTTCTCTTCTGTCCACCAGTGTTCAACTGTCTTCTTCTGGGGGTCATTATCTCCTCGGGAGTGCACTGAATAATATCCTCGTCATTGTCATCAGCCTCCTGGTTTTGATTGTCAATAGGCCGAGATGGGCTCTCGGGTTCGATAACAGCTTTGTCCTTATCAGAAGCCCGCGCTTCTGGTGGGGCTTTTGCATTGGCCTCGTGCTGACTCGACTCAACATTAACATCACCCTTAGATCCACCGGTGGCCTGGACAATAGATTCGGCTTGTGTCTCGTCTTCAGCGATCAAATGAAAATCCTGACTCTCATTCACCGTAGAATTATTTTCCGTCTTATCATGGTCATTTGTCGTAGGACACTCGTCATCCTTCCTTTGCGTCTCGGGGATTACACCATCCAACAATTCCGACATTATCTCAGTCTCACGGGGGTAAGAAGCACGAACAAATCAGAATGATAGCTTTGATGATTTATTACTGAATTCATCAAGTTATGGGAATTTATTCAACGAAATTACCTCTGATAACGAGAAAACGGGCTCTTCTTTTTGCGGGGAGAGAACGCGCGAAGTTGGCTACGCGTTTCTCGGTTATACCCGGTGTTGCATCTACATGACTGGCTTCAGGGTGAATGGAAAATGCCGAGCTCTGTGTGAAGGCAGCTGTTCTTCTGCATACCGCGCGCCAAATATCAACGTTTTTGAATTTCACACTTCTTTTTCAATTTTACATTGCTATTTTCAGTGAGTCGATATTAAGGATGTTCCCCACCCACGTAGAGCTAAAATTCACATTTTTTCATTCATTCATTTTTCTGGAAAACTTACGATGGCTTTGACTTTTGACGAAAAATATAACGCTTTTGCATTTTGTCATTATTTGATGGCTCATGAAGTTTTAAGGTGAGGCGAAAATTTTCCGCATTTTTCTGCATCCTTTTCTAAATTTTAAAGAGAATCATGAAAAAATTGAAATAGAGACAAGTTGATAGGTTGGATTTCGCTGGATTTTTCGTGAAACAGAAAATAAAATTGAAAAAATGTTCCAAGCTTATTAAAAAACAGACAGACATCGATCAAGACTATCAACATCTCGAAAGTCTGTTATCTCATTCCTCATTGGTCGTCGCTTAAAGCGGCTAATTTGAATACCGAACTTATTCAATTTTGAAATCTTCAATCATGATTTTTATAATTAGAGCGCGTTATAGGGCGCGTTCGCTCCCGTTGGAAAAAAGTTGCCGTCCGGCAAGTGCAGTGTTTGTTCGTGGCATCCATGGGTGGATTTGAGGGTATGGGTGTATAATGAAATGGAAGGAATTGTTGCACACCAGTGACGATTGGCCAGTGGCTGTGACTTGCGAGATGTGAGTTGTGTCGACTGGTGGGGGCAAGGGAAACAAGTGTGTCTTCTCGGCTGTCACATGAAGCAACAACGTGGTGGTGAAAGGATGCGGATGGACCAAGCCCCAAGGTGCGGAATTATCAATTACATCTGATTATTCACCGGGTATGAGATTTTGGGTGATAAAAAAAAAGCACGACAATGATGAGTATTGATGAGTGAGTGAGTCTGTGTGTGAGTGTGTGAACAGGGACGCTGTGTTGGTCAGTGGTAAAATGGCGGCGGCATTGACTGTCGAACAAGAGCAAGTAAGTACACCACTCATTATTAGCATTAGACCCATTCATTTCATCCATTATGAGATTTTAAATCCCCCAGATATCATCCCCGAGACCATGACACACGTCAAATCATCCTGGCACCTTAACCAAGTATAAACCCATCGGCAAGACCTTTAAATCACCATTATGGCAACCTCCAGCATGGAGCGACAACTTCCATAAACAATTAAAATACTCAATGGTGGAGTGATAAAATGGGATGAGTCAACTAGGAATTTTTTTTGCTGTATCTACAAATTTCAGGGATATTGACAAAGTGTTGTTTGAACTTTTTTGTAGCTATCGTTATTATCTACGAAAAAGGGCTGATAACTATTTTGAAATGTCCAGGGGATTAGGAGGTATTCTGGAAAAACTTGTGACTGCTGTCCTGTTTGACCACTCGAATGGAATGTTCATTGCTCTCTTATCAGTCATGACAGAGTGCATCCTTCATCCTCTCCATGGCAATCGATAATTGCACGTCAATATTTTGCGACGGGATTTAATTGGTACGGTGTTTACACTTGGCTGAGGTATCTCGGGGATTTTTATAATTCATTGCTCTTTCGTGTTTTTATTTCACACGATTTGTTTGGCTGGTGCTTTAGTTTGTGTTTTGGCGTTTTAATTGGCCTAGACTGATGAGGATGGGCTCTAGGGGGGAATTTATAAATAGCTGAATTGATTTTTCTCGGAGTAATGAGTTTCACGCGTAAACGGTTTACCTAGAATTTCTCGGGGCCGAGGGTGGGGTACCGGAAGCAATTGTTGGACGGGGGAAGGGACCTCCACCGGAAGTAATGCCACTGCTCCAAGCATGTATTTAAAAAGAGAAAAACATCTTCAATAGAGAGAGATGAGGAGCTGAAGGTCTTGCCGGAAGAAGCATCATCAGTCTTCAAGTATGTGGGAATTACTTTCCCTAGAGTTCCTGGGAATTCACTGATTCACGTGTTATCGGCACTTTTTAGAGTCGAAATATCCTCCGTTTGAGATGTGAAATTTTTTTTTTTTTTTTGGGGGGGGGGGCAGATTCTGGGGGAACAGGCAAATTCATGCATTCATGTTTGGATTTTTAATTTTGTAGCGGATAAATTGTCTTTCAAACTTGTAAACTAAACAGGCATTTCTTTTGAGGTCAGTCTTTCGCCGATTTCTTGAAATTGAAGGAAGATTAGGATATTTTGACAGAAACTTTCTTTGTAGCTCTCGTATTTGTCAGCAAAAAATGTTTATGCAAAAAATTCGCAATGTTCCTTCGATTCCGAGATATCAGCTAAAAACTGGCGTCAAAAAATAAGCAGTTATCCTAGTTTACCACTTTGTTATTGACTTCGTCATGTAATCTCGGAGTTCGGGGAAACAGCCAATTAATATTGCTCATAAGATGATAGGTTCTGGATAAATAATCGGTGTGGTTAAATCATGTGAAGACTCAATTTTATAATGAGTAAATCAAAGACTTTCCTAAACGGAAACCCGTCGACACTAATTCGAGCATTCTTGGATCCTCTCTCTTGTTTAAATTCATAAGCAACCTCTGACTTTCTCATAAACATAGAAGTAACGCTAAGAATACCGTAAACAGGATAAAGAATTCTATCCGAATATCACGCATTACCTTATTAATTCGTTCCATTTCGAGCATCGAAACTTTCGCTAAGAGACAGTTATCACTGCGTTGAAAAAGCAAAACAATTGTTTTACAATTTTCAACACAGAAAATTCTTTTTTTTTTTGCAATTTATTCTCTTCATTCAATATAGAGAGTAATTATCAATACATTTTTTTGTAATTAACTATTTCCCCTCAATGGAGTTTCATTAGATATTCGCATGAATACAGTTTCCTACGAAATTTCTACATATAGAATAAATAGTTATATTATAAATAATTATAATCGACTCAGCAGAATAACCGGAAGGTTATCTCTGGATTTTTTAATGTAAAATATTATTATCAGAGCAATAATCTTGCAATAATGAATTTTCAATTCCTGAAAGTAGGCAATAAAATTTTTCACCGGAAGCGATAAGATTTCCACTGAATTTCCGCACACGTGATAGCAAAGAAAATAATTCCAACCACCTGATAGCCCTCCCTCGGCATAAATACTTCGAGAATATCGAATGTTGCGCTCCTAAATCTAGGAATCTAACCGGGGGAACCAAAGGAATGATTCAAGCGTCACTGACGAAACACACACAAGGAAATTGACGAAATAATTCGACGAATCCCACGCGGTTCACGAGATAATGACGTAATCCAGTGTTTTATTATGAATTTTCTCAATCAAGGCGACCAAGGAGTTCATAGAGGCAGTAAACAAATGTCGAGCTGGTAGACGAGCAAGTCCAGTGTCTTGGAGTACAGCAGTCAAGTTTCTAGCTGCTAGGAAATTCGAGGTATCAAGGGCTTTAGCTTTGTACGAGCAACACGAAGCAACTAGACGTCGCGAGGGATTGGCGACACTTCAACCCACCCAGGAGCCACTCCTCAGTGAATTGAAGACAGGAAAATTCACAGTTTTGGTAAGATTGATCAGTCAATTTTCCACGCAAATCATTAATCAATTTCTGTTGGAAAACGTTAATTCGCATGGAGAGAAAAACTTTGTGAAAATTATCTATCCGTTTGAAAATTGTGATGTGTTTTAGCTGTTCGGAGAAAATTATTGTACCACTCAGAAAAAATAATCGACTGCTTAGTCAAAGTTATCCAGCCATTTGAGAAAAATTACCTAAACATTTATAAAAGTTATTAAATATTAGTTTTCAAATGTCCTCTCAGGAAATATTTAATACTCTTTAGTCTCTCAACATAACAACTTCGAGACAGTGCTCCGAATGGACCAAACCCCTGGTCAAAACCATGTCAATGGATATGATTAACTCAGAAAAAAATAGTTTGTGAATGAGAATTGACTCATGTCCTTTTGTCATTTATCAGTACTGATACCAGAAAGAATATAATTCCGTCATTGAGTGGCGGTGCAAATATGACGGCACTACTTGATGGTCCATTCGAATTAAAATAGCCAGTTATGTCAGACCATTCGTAGTTGTGACTACAACGTGGAAAAAAGTTGAAAAAACATCAATTGCGTGTTTCAGTCCTCGAGAGACGGTACAGGTGCGGCAATCGCTATTTTTACCGCCCACTTGCATCTGCCACAGTATACAACGCATCAAACGACTCTGCAGGTCAGTATTTTGGTGTCCCCGACCTTCCAATCTCGGGTCAGTCACCCCCAGATCCAACCCCAACTGCCCAAATGCTCGGCTAACAAACGCGAATTCCTCCTGAGATTCGCATTCTCACAGTTTCTATTTTTAATCCTATGTCTTTCGATTCTTTAATGATATCCACGTGCATGGGCCTCTTTTTTCGGAATTCTTCACAACATTTTTGGATAAGCCCCAGAGTAGCCATTGATTCTCAAAATTCTGTTGAAAATCCTAGTGATACATTGATAGAAAAAAATACTTTTGACACTCAAGGTCTATTTGACGTTTTGAAATAGTCTCTTGTTAATTTTTTAAATTGTGGTGGTGAATTATTTGAGTCTCACACCGAGAGAGAAACGTCTTTTAATAGGAGGAAATTCCCCGCTGCCAAGAGAAAATTCAAGTTCTTGGATGAAGTATTCCAAGAAATTCATGTAACTTGCGTTAAATCTGGAATTGAATTGATTTTAAGAATTAACACTTTGTCGATATTATTCTACTTTTAGCTGAGAAATTCTTATTTCAGGTTTCTGAAAGGTTCAATAAAAAAAATGAATTATAAAAATTACACATTTCAATCTAGTATGAATTCTAGTGGACAGAAAATTATAAGATTACGATATTTTTTATTTGGATTGTGTTGCCATTTTACGAGAATTCTCGGTAGAATCCTTGAAATGAACTTCAACCCAATTGTTAAGAGAAATCTCTTTCTGAAAAATAATTTCATAATCGTACATATTACGGAAATGTCCTTGAGATAAATATTTCCACACATTCATGCCGGCGAAAAAATGCAAATAGCTTCTATAAAATTAAAACCGTAATCGTTTATCTGGTGGCCATTGTGTCACCTATTTAAGCTCAGCGCATGAGCAAAAATAATCTACTGCAACTGTCTTTCTCTCCCTCTCCCGTATTCTCGATGATTTTTACACAAAAAATTCCGTGTCATTATAAATTAAAAGAGGGGAATGGCAACTGAATGCTTTCAGGGTGTCGTCTATCAGCTGGATGCTGCACTGGAGAGCGCAGAAACCCAGCGCCATGGACTAGTCTTTATCTATGACATGTCTGACAGCAAATATCAGAATTTTGATTACGATCTGTCGCAGAAAATTCTCACCCTTCTGAAGGTAATCACTATTTATCAATTAAAAATAAAATCACCCAGTCTATCTATTAACATAGATATAAGGTCTCAATATGAAGTAGGAATAAATGGAATACATAACAAAATCTCTGTTGCCTGGATTATTTTCTCTAATTTCCTTTATTGTTCCATTCTTATGTAGGTAGAACTAATAATTATCTAGCATTGAGCATGTCTCGGATTTTTATTTTAATTCCTAGAAACAATTGGGTAATGAGTCAGGGTCACTTGGAAAATAAATTTTAGTTAATATCCTAAAGTTCAAGGAGATGTCAATGTTTTTATCATGAGCACAGATAAGGATTGTACAAGATCCTGGAGCTCCACCGACGAATTCTATTGCAATCCTATAAACCTTTTGTTTGTCTTTTTACGTCTCTCTTGAGTATTTTGCAATTGATTTTTTTTTTCAAGGAAAAAGTCGATAGATATCGATTTCTCAGAACTTATTCTGCTGGTCTTTTTATGGCTTTCTCAACGTTTTTCTCTTGGATGTTCGTAATGAGAAATTGGGACTTTACGACTGGAAAAACCTAATGTCGAAATATTTCAGTGGAAAAACATCAAATTAATAATTCACCACTAAATATTAAAATTTATTCATTTCTCTTATAAATGAGTGATAAAGAAGTGAGTGTACGATTGTTCTTTAATATTATAATGATTTCTTTATAAGAATCGTATTAGCTTTTCACAGTTTTTATAGAAAAAAATTGCATCTTCTCTTGAAATGAAAATATCAGCATAAAATTTATCATTTAGCTCAGTACACGGAAGGGTTGATTATTTTTCGATAATTAGCCTGAAGGATAATCTTTCATTTAGCCTTACTCAAATTGACACTTGTTTAACACTCAGACTAATTATTATTTTATACTTGACGAAATCGTTAACAAATTTAAGACATACAAAAAACTGGGACTATTCAAGTTGAGAATTTATTCCAGGTGAAACTTCAATAGAATAAGTTGTACCCAAAAATAAAAATCTATTAATTTTCTCTGCACAAAATCAAAATTTTTCATCAGACATTTGTATTGAAAAAAGAAATGCGCTTTTGATTGCGTTGACTTTTCAATAAGATCATCAAGAAAGTGCATAGAATCTCATTGGAATTGATTGAGTCTTCTATCGAATATCGTAAATAAAGCAGATTTCCAAGGATTTTTTTCATGCGCTTCGTTCACCTCAATTTTCTCGTAGAAATCGAAGTAATTCCAAGGGGAATTTCAAATAAAACTCCCCTAGAATTCCAATAAACTTCTCAAATGTCAAGAGAACAATTTTTATATTCCCTAAATCTCAAGATATTCATCGAAAACTCAGCCCCACATTAACTCCCCCAACTCTGACAAATCTCATTCCCCTGATTCTCCACTTTCATTATCGAAAACTCGTAAAAATCCCATTTCCATACGGATTTCCGACTAATTACGAGATACTGCAAAATCTCCATAACAAGCCGTGGAACTAAAAAAGCCTCGGCATTAAAAAGAAAAAAAAATCTATAACGAACGCATGAGGACATTAATAGATGCCATTGCACTGGAGTTGCATGGAGCGTTCATTTTGATTATCTCTCCATCATCTGTGGAAGGGGCTAGCCGTGGAGGGGATTCTAGACTTCAGATGAGGCGGGGTTGCACAACCCTTAGCGCAATACATGAAGGGAAAAAATTAGGGGAAACTTTGAGAATAATTGCGCATGCCCGCACTCGTGAACGTCACACGACGCTGCTATCACCAGTAGTTGAATGATTTTCTTTGCACCGAGAGGACAACTAGATCGATCTCAAAATTGTTTGCCCCCACATAAAATACCGGTACGAGTGTAAAAATCATCATGAAAGGGGATAAATTTTCATTCAAGTGATCCCAGTGGTTGCATTATTTCAAATAAAATTGGGGCCATTCTGGGGTGATCCTGGGGGTTGCATGGAGGCGCGAGACATCCCTGACTGAGACCCCAGCTGTTTTTCTTGATATAGTGAGGGGAATCAGGCCAGTAATCGATTGGCATTGATCAAAGCACCTGCTAATAATGCATATACTATGTGGGCAATATTTTATCTTGTTCAGGATGTGATGACTGTGGTATCTAGGACTGTGGCATTGTGGGGATTCAATTGATAATGCGAAAAGAGGGCATTTCGGGGATTTGTCATTTGAGTGGGGGTCGCGCCACTTCTGCCCTCTGAAATACGGGGGTTATCACTTTTTCGACATTTTAGGGCATTTTTTTCAACTAATTGAGTAAATTCAGGATATCCAAGTACATTTTCGTCTTTGACATGATCTGTACTCATTTACTTTTCTCATTCACTTTTTTCTTTCTTCTTGACATTTTTTTCAATTCAATTGCAGTAGAATTAAAAAGCTCATGCTTGTTTCGTTATTTGAATTAGATGTTCGGGGGAATATTATTTTGTTTGAAGAATTGTTGTCTCTGAGTAGTTGAATGTTTTAATCGCCATTATATATTAATTCCTGTTGAAATTCTACACATGAATTTATTACGGTTCTAAGAACTAGGTTTTTGAAGTGAGGGGGAGAGGGCAATTGATTGCTCATGAATGATTTATGAGCAAGTCTCGTGGTCTTAAAAAATTGCAATTTTTCGGTCATTTGATGAATCTTCATGCATATTCATATTGTAATTTGAATTATAATTTTTAAGGAATAATGTTTTTCAACGTTTGTTTTTTATAAGTAGCAATTTGACGAGCAATATCTTGAAGATTCAATAGTAATAGTATTAATGTTATTGAATTCCTTACATATTTACTTATATACATATACGTACACATGTTTTTTCATATTTTCAACTTCTTTTTTACGTCTCAAAAGCCTCCTTTTTTCTATTTTGATTTCGATTTCTGGTGAACGTATGAATATCAATGATTTCATTACCATAACGTGGGGAATTGAGTGGAGACTAATTTGTAATTATTCAGTATTTATATCAATTTCTTTCCCAATTTGAGCATCTGAGAATTTTTTCCGGATGAAAGAAATATTTCCTAACGATTCAAAATCAAGGATCAAATTCAAATCGTTGGAAGGTTAAATAACATATAACAAATCTAAATAAAAAGGCATGTCAACAAAGAAAATTGTTGAAATATCTGAAGATCGGCGATGTGATGAGCTTGTGATTAAAGTGATGAAACAGAATTAATCTGTTGATTCTGTTATATTAACCTCAAGCCGAAGCTAGCTTATTCTATGACTGCTCTACTGAAATAGACACAGCCAAGAGTTTATCAATTTTTCAATGTGATTTGGAGAGACGTCGGATGTCGGTCCGTTGGATGACATCCAAGATTAAGGTTGAAGACAATTTAATAATAGAATCTCGTTACCCAATAAGTACTACGTGTTTTCTTTGAATTCACGTGAAAGCGTATGGAAAAAAAGTTGATGAAATTTTTAAATGTTACAGGGTGGTTATCCAGCAAAGCTGAAGAAAGTTCTGATTGTCACTGCTCCACTGTGGTTCAAGGCACCATTCAAGATACTGAGACTCTTTGTCAGGGAGAAATTGAGAGATCGTGTTTTTACAGTGTCAATACCACAACTGACACTACATATACCTCGCGAATCGTTGCCCAGACGATTAGGTGGGACATTGGAGATACAGCATGAGGCCTGGCTGTTACATTGTCTCAAGTCCATGACGAATCGCAGTGGTGGTGAATTGTGCGAGGTTACCCCTCGTGTGGGTAGTCCTCTCTCCCCAACGTCAAAATCACCGAATCACCAGAACGCCAATGGTTCTCCAAGCCCAACGAGTCCTGTCTCAGAGAAGTTAAAAATAAAAAATGGTGGTGTCACAATCGGTGACATCGAGATAACAAACGGTGATTGGATAGCGAGCGATGAGGCGCCCTCGCCAGTTCAGCCGCCTTCATCAGCGAGTTCAGGATTTTCGGACGATGACAGCCTCCACGGTGAGCCTGGGCTGCAGGCTGTCACGATGGAGCAGCTCATCGAGACAAGTCATTCGCGTGGACGAGCGGGTCTCGTAGCCGAGTACGCGGAAATCCGTCAGCGGCCACCAGACGGTTCATTTAACAACGCCAAGCTCAGGCCCAACCAGCCAAAGAACCGGTACACAGATGTCCTCTGTTACGATCACTCGAGGGTCTGTTTGTCCCAGGTGGACGGTGATCCAGCGTCAGACTACATAAACGCTAATTTTGTCGATGGCTACAAGCAGAAGAATGCCTTTATCAGTACCCAGGGTCCTCTGCCCAAGACGTGTGGTGATTTTTGGCGTATGATCTGGGAGCAGCAGACACTTGTTGTGGTGATGACAACGAGAGTTGTGGAACGTGGTCGAACGAAGTGCGCCCAGTACTGGGGTCCTGAGCCTGGTGATGAAGTATCAATCGGTGGTTTCACTGTTACAACTCTCGAAGTAGACACCAATCCCGATTACACGATATCCATGCTACTGCTCACCAACACCAAGACTGAAGAGTCGAGGGAAGTCTGCCACATGCTTTACACAGCGTGGCCCGATTATGGTGTACCTCAGTCAGCCAGGGCTCTACTGCAGTTCTTATCACTTGTCAGACAACAGCAGAATAAATTGCTCGCCAGCAGGGGTGACACCTGGGCTGGACATCCCAGGGGTCCACCCATTGTTGTTCACTGCAGTGCTGGTATTGGGAGAACTGGAACATTTTGCACACTTGATATCTGTATATCTCGTCTTGAGGATACTGGGACTGTTGATATCAGGGGCACAGTTGAAAAAATACGCGCACAACGTGCCTACAGTATTCAAATGCCGGATCAGTATGTTTTTTGTCATCGGGCACTTGCTGAGTACGCAGTGTCCAGGGGAATGCTCAGCCAACAGCATCTTGCCATGCTACCACCGACAATCGAAGAGGATTCTGATTAGGATTTTTTTCTTCTTTTTGTAAATTTCGGGTAGGTCCATTGCCAGTTTTTCATCGTGGATTTCATTGGTTTTTTGACTCTAGGGGGATAAGGGGGAAAATTCAAGGAGTTCATTCTTAAGGAGAATGCCGATAACGTTATCGGCATTACTTTCTATGAACCGTATTGCTTTCCAGCAAATTCGTTTGGATTTTTTATAGCTATATTTTTATTCTTCTATACCATTGATGTTGATAACATATTTTTTATAGAAATTCTTCGCTTTGAATTTTCCAAGTTTCCTCACTCAAAATTTTCAATAAATTAGACAAAAATTGAGTGTGAAAACTTTAAATATTCGGGCCGAATAACTTATATAAAAATCATCTTAATAAAATAAATTGTATAGAAAAATAAAATTGATCAATTTGATCAGAGAATATTAAAGTGAAATTTTTGAAAATCTATTTAATTGCACATTATCTGCATCTCCTGAAAGCCCCCACCATCCGATACTATTCAATTTTTTCATTATTAGCAATTTTGTAACAGAAAAAAAACCGTAGCATCTTGTACTTTTTGCAATCAATGAGTTGTCGTCTAACTCCGTAAATAAACAGTGTTTTATACATAAAAATGGTTAACGATACTGCGAGAAAAAAATTTTCCGTACTATCTTCAGATTGTCTAGTCTAGAAATCAGAATTTCATTTAACCTCGTGAGAAAAATACTGAATGATCATGTTATATCACAAACGTGACCTCTCAAAATTCGAGAGGAATAACCTGTGGAAAGGAAACCCTGGAATGAAGTTGAATGATAAAATTAATTGAATCCTGTTATCTTGAAAATTGAAGTGAAATTATCCTGCCATTAAGAAAGATTCGCCAATCCCTGAATCACAAAATCAGACTGAGAAATTTTATTAATCAGGCGTGAATCTTCCTTCTGTAAGCGTTACAGTGTTCCCATTATCAAATATTGAAGACGCTTCCAATCGGTTAAAGAAATCTCATGTTCCTTCACAGCAATAATTGAATTCAATAAAATCCATGAAACTTTCAAAAGCCCAACGTTTTTTACCGAAACGTTATTTTCTTAATATTGAAAGCTTCTCAAGCCCATAATAGAATTCTTGAGATTGGTGTAAGATAATAGAAACAAACTCTACTTAGTTTTTGCATCTCTGTATAAAAAATTATGAAAATCCAAAAAAAAAAATTGAGAGTGAGTGTGAAAATGTCGAATTCTTTATTGAGCTTTGAGGAAAGAACACGTACCAAGGAATTTCATTGAAAAAAGTCCTATAAAAAGATAATCTTTTATCCCAACAAGCAATTTACTCTGTTTAAAATAATTCTGTAGAAATCTCTCAGTACGAATTTTCGCAATTTTTTTTCCATTGAACAACTTGAATAAAAAATTCATGATGAATTTCTATAGAAAATTGCTAATAGAACGTAGAATCTATCACTTTTTTCTCTACAATAGTTCGTAACAAATATTTGTATTGAAAGAAGTCGAGAGAAGATGATGGAATGTGGATTCTTTTCAATGAAATTTTTTTCGATATGAAAGGGGAAAAGTTTTAGTTGATATTTAAAGAAGACTAGCTATTTCTGACATCTGTGATTCTCATACATCAGCTAACCTGAAGCAATGAATCTAAACACTAACGTAAGGAGAGAATACTAAAGAAGAGAAGAGTGAATATTTTTCAAAAATGGAATTTTGAATATATTTTGCATGGTTGGCTCCGTTTGCGTTCTTCCGGCATGCGCAAGAATGGATAAAAAGTTAAAACTAACGACATAACTGGAACCTGAACAACTTTTAATACATCTACATTGTGTATTAACTGTTTATCAATCTGTTATAAGATATGACTTCATTATCTCGATGTTGAATTTTTCGGAAAGTCAATTGTTTTTACAGAAAGTATCGGATAAGAAGTTTGTGTCGACTTCAAGAGAGGAATGATAATTGACGAAAATGAAGGGAAATGTTGTGCAGAATGTATAACCATTTGTGAGAATATTTTGCTTCATTTGATATAAAATTTATAGATACGAATCTTTCGTTCTGACGAACGAATTCTTGAGGGCATCCTTTATTCATTAATCAATTAATTGAAGAAAGATAGAGGGTGGGTGGAATATGGGGGTGAAATTCGGTCAAGAATTTTCTTTTGAAAATTCTACCAATTAATTGTATCTCCACAATTTCACGATGACAGAAATTCAGTAGAAAATCTAGTGCTTTTCGAGAATTTCATCAGATAATTCTATTGAGTCCTTCCTCTTTCTGAAATACGAAATGAGAATAAATATGGACGAATCGCGGAGTTTAATGTGGAATGCACTGGAATTTTCTATTGAATTTTGTCGTACGTATTGAGCCACTCCTCTACATAATCTTTATGTAATCCATCGATTTATTTATTGTAAATTTGTCTAAGTTAGATGAAATCGCTTAAAATAATTTCTTCAACGTTTTCACAACAATCCGTGACCAGTATTCCGACGTTTTTTAAATAATTCTGATATTTCGATAATCACACGAATGAAAATCGAGTTGGAAACCCCTTGTACTTTTTCTAGAAAATTCTTTTATTTTTTCTGCTGTTTTCTTCGAATTTTGTCAATTTTCTAGCCATTTCTACAAAAAATTTTGTTTAATTTACAAGAAACAGAAAATGTGACGCCGAAATGAAATAAATCGAAATGCATTTTCGATGAAAATGGGAGATAAAATAACAGAATTTCGATAAGATTTTAATAGAATTTTTTAGTAAATAGGCGAGGGTTTTCTCTCGATTTTATTGAGACGTGCAATTTTCTCAATGAATGTGAAATTGACATGGACGATAACTCGAATAATTCCATTTCACTGCTGTCATTATTTTATTACTGTATGTTTGTAATTGAATTGTCTTATGATATTAATTATACAGTGTAAGTTTTATCGTCGCTGTGTTTTTTGTTCGAATCGAAAAGTGAATGGAGGAAGAAATGACGAATCTGTCTGCAGAAAATCCATGAATAATAAATAATGTGAAATTTTTCTCACTCCTTTTAGAGTACACTTGAAGATCAAAAAGTAGAGAGAAGTGGGAAATTACGAATTTTTAGAGCTGACGTTCTTTTTTTATAAATAAATTAAGAAACCACAAAATTTATGCATAAAAGAAAATTATGAGAACATGGACAAATTTGTAGTTGTTCAGATGATGTGTGGAAAATGTTTGTGACGAGTGAAATAATGGATAAAACTGTATATACCATGACCTCGAATAGCTAATGGCACATATTGTATCTCTAATAATTATTTAATATATTGCAGATATAAATGGAAATATGGATTCACTTTTTGATTTATGACCTGTGCACATGCTGCATCACATTAGGCAGCCCCAAAAAAAAAAAATTTATATTTTAATTGAAGTATCTGATTTTTTTTCTTAAAAGTTACACATAAAAAAAATTATTTTTATCACTACCTGAAAAGTAACTTTTCGCTTCGAATGCCTAAAAAGTGATTTTCCCGCAAATCGGGAAGAAATATACTATTGTGTGATGAGTAATTCGATTGAGTTTGCAATGCCGTTTCAAATAGAAATCATTTCTGATTTATCAGTACAAATGAATCAATGACTAATTAGTGTCTTGAATTCAATTCCTGTTGAATCACTTGATGAACATTTACCCATTTGACATTATAGAAACCCCCTTCCCCCTTAAAATCCCAAGAAACAACAATCAATTGAAATATAACTGCATTATGACGTCATAATGCAGTATTGCCTGTTATAATTTAAATCTTCCATCATCCGCCAAAAGGCAGACATAAATATGGAAAATTTTTTTGTCCCACATGCGATACCCTGTTTTTTCGATAAAAATAATTAATAAATAACTGAAATGCCCGATAATTTCAATATCTCGCCCGGTTCCCTATAAAGCAAGTCCACTTGAAGAGAGAAAAATTTCCCTCACATGTGTGTCTCTCTCTTCCTCGCTCTCCCACCCACGCCGCCATTTAATTACACGATAACTCGAAAATAAAAATCGATAGTTATTGACAATATCGAGTTCTACGGATTTCTAACTATCGATTCGCAAAATATCGATATTTTGGAATTCACTGCGCGGATAGAAAAATTCAATAAAAATTACGTGCCTGTTCCGCGATCTGCCAGTCAAAATGATATAACAGTAAACGTTACCGAAGAATTATACACTTTTTTACTGAACCTTCCGGAGTTTTTCATCACGATGTGCTGAAAAGTGACTTTCCCGCACATTGTGAAGGGAATAGTATATTTCGTGACAACTGCGGAAATGTTGTTTTTGGCATGTGGGATTATACCATTCGATTTCGGCGCGTGATGTAAACCTATCACACGCCGAAAATCACTTTTCCGCACTTGTTACGAAATATTCTATTTCAATTAATTACATTTTTTTTGCCACTGTACTTTTGAAAAAGCTTGCCACTGCATGAGTGCAAGTGCATTTTCTCTTTGTTCACCAGTACTGCATGCACTTCTCACCAATTCTCCCACCAATACTACACCAATGCGTGCATCAAATTATTTTCGTATCTTCGGGACAATAAAAAATCTAGTCTCCCCAGAAACGCCCCGAAACTAGGAGCAAGTGCATTTATACTGATCAGTAATACTTTGTAAAAATTACGGAAGTTTCAGTCCGCTTACCGATTACGGCATCTACTTGAAAATTTAAGTGACGGTATCGTAATTTTTCATAGATAATTCAGATAAAAAATATGGAACGCCGTAGAAAAATTCTGTGACATTGGATAAAAATTACGTGACAGTTCCATAAAATTTTCTACAATCACATTTCGCTCTGGAATTACGGAAAAGAGGCGTAATTTTTATTGAATATTTCTCTCCATGCGTTTGACAAAAATTGAATCATAAGTATTCAAATAATATCACACAAACGGCGATGGCCTCCACCCACACACGTCAACAATAAATGACTTATTTACGCGTGAAAAGTGTGAATATGTTGAATTTGAAAATAAATATATCGTCATCCCTATTCTAGAAATAGACGAAACACTTTAGATGTCTAATGATAAAAAAACTGCTAAAAATCGCGAAAAGTAAAATTCTTATAGAGATACGATATCACTTCTTCCTGATTCTCTGAATTTTCCTCTCGCCATATTTCTCACTCCACACCCACCCACACCTTCCAACCCAAAGATTATCTTCGACTCAATAAGTAGACTATCAATCGAAGTTGTCTATCGAAGGTAAAAGAACAGAACTGGCAGTTGCCACTGCGAAGTTGAGAGGATAAACTCATCTGCGATACAAAACGAGAGCTCCTCAGAATCGACAATTCATTACCGGTGATAAAGTAATTGTTTATAATTGCTATTAATTAACGGTGGGATGAGCGCGCCTTTTTCCATTTTCCCGTAGTTTGTTTTTGTTACAGTGTAATTGTTATAGATATAAATACTGGGCTGCAATGTTTTGGTGTTGCAATATTCATTTTTTCGACGCTCTTATGCAATAGTACATCATATTAATTGTCAACCGCATCGCATAATTCAGTTTATCCTTCACTGACAGTACGTGGCTTTGTGAGTTCTTCAGTGACATTTGAAGTGTCAAGGCATTAATCAAATACTTTATCTATTACTGGTTATCGATTAGGTCTGAAACCGAGTCCACAAGGAAAATACTGTTCGTTCTTCATTCACGCTAAAAACTCATTTTTGTTAAAGAAATATCGAGAATTGTCGGTCCTTTTTGATAGTTTTTGCTGAAGCCCTCGGGTCATAACTTGCGAGGAATTCCATGTTTTCGATTTTTCTTCGAATTAATGCGGTTAAAAATTCAAAATTACGTACAGTACGTCTAATCGATTTAAAGAGACCATTTTAATTAGTCTTGTCAGTTGAGTTTTATCGAAATTATATACGACAAATTCCTTATTTCATGAGGATTTAACATTTTTTTATCAGTTAAGTGTAATAAAATTCTGGAAAAACTGAAAATTTCAATAATGGATTGTTACAGTCATCTTTTCAATTTTTCCCGCGTCCCATTTAGCCCAGGTCTATCTTATAGTCTCCAATTAAAGACTTATAAGAAGACTCAAGTTCAAAGTTAGTTATTCAGACATAAAAAATTGCAAACTTAAAGTGAAACAATTGGAAAGTTTCCATTTAGCATCAAAAATTACTGATTAAATCCCTTTACTCCCCCGCAAGTATTTTTTTTAATTGTCTTTCTCGAGACGATTTTTCTATGATGTTTCAATTTTTCAAAAGAAATTTCTTTATTGTTTATAATTATCAGAGCTAGCGTATGATGTCTCAGCCTGTTGCCGTAGGACCTGTAGCTCAGAGGATGACATGTCCTCATTGTCGCGCCGAAATTACCACAAGAGTAGAAGGCGAGTCCAACAGCAAAACTCATCTCTTTGCTCTTCTCCTCTGTTTACTTGGGTAAGTACAATCAATTAGCCAACAAGTATTTGAATATACATGACTTGCTGAAATGTCCATACCACACAGAGAGAAAAATTCAGCAAAAATTACTTAATCGCTTGGTAATCGCGTTGTGTTGTTACGTTCAGAGAACATTTCTGAGCTTGTAGGTAATTCCCCTCAAACGGCTAGATTAATTTTATTCATTAAGCAGTCGACAAATTTTTATTATTTATTTAATAACAATTATCTATAGCCGTTCGGGATGTATTACGTAAATGTTTAAACGCAAATTGTTTGATTTGTTAAGTAATTTCTTTACTTCAGGGAAACTACAGCGAGAGATTCTTCACGTTAGAATCATCATTATTTTTTTTATACAAGGATAGAAATATTCACTAAAATTGCGTATTTTTCCGTGATTCCAGAATGAGTTGTGGTTGAGGAAAATGTTATGGAATTTTTCCGTACTGTTCTGTCATTTTGTAATGATTTTTCCGGGAAAATTTATGATTTCGCCACTCAAATTTCTCTTCAATTTAATTAATATTTATCTCCGTGGTTAGATTATGGTAATTATAATAATCATTTGTGTTGATTTTAGAAGGAAAAATCAATTGACGTCAATTTCATGATAGGAATGAATTACATAACGTAACTTGACTGCATTGAGCGGATGAACAAAGTTCTGGGATTAAAATCATTTTCTCTACAATGTTCATCTCGCAGATAAAAGTTGGAAAATTCTCGAGACGATAAATGATGATTTTACAATATGACATTTCATTTTGTAACAATCGAAGGAAATTGTAACAAATTTATGCTTTAGCAGAATATTCATTTTTATCTGGAATATTTCAATCATTTTATATTAACAACGATAAAGGTTTAATCTTTCTTGCGATCGAATCAATAATAAAAACGAGGAAAAATGATTTTTACAGTGAAAATTTTCGTTTCTCAGTGTTCGAGAATAAATTTAGTAGCGAAGTGGTAAACTAGGATAACTACTCATTTTCTTGGAATCAGTTTTTCCCAAGTATCTCAGGACTGAACGAAAATGTTGACATTTTTATAATTACCATTAGTGTAGGGCTCACTTTTCCCTACCAAAAATGTATGACCGAAAGTACTGCTATCCCTTCTTCAATTTCAAGATATTGGGTGAAAATTGGACTCGAAAAAATACATTTATCCTAGTTTACTATTTCTCAACGGAATCAAAAAGAAAAAAATGTCTAGGATTCTATTTTAATATTCCAAATCTCAATTTCTCATTGGAATAATCTCGGCAAGACTGACTGCACACCTGATCTAGTAAACTCATTTCAAATTTCATGACCGCCTAATTAATGATTATTTTCTTTTAATCACAGATGCTGGCCTTGTGCTCCATGCCCTTATTGCATGGATTCCTGTCTGGTCAAGAAACATTATTGTCCAGCCTGCAATAATTACCTCGGACAACACGAAAATTAATCGTTACTCTCCACAGGAAAAATCACACAACAAATAAATGCGACAATTTAATAGCTTTTATAATTAAATTTGACGAAACGATTTGGATTCTACATGTCCTTTTGGGTATTTTGCTGTGTGTCAAATGTTCAAAAATCCTACAGCAGAAATAAAATATTGGACTCGTTGTTTACTAAAAGATATATCAATTTGTATTCTAAGAATATATGCAATCCACTCGTACAATTGTTTAATTTGAGAGCTCTCAATTAATAAATCTATCAAGATATTTTTACTAAAATCCGTTTTCTCATTTGGTCATTATTTTCATACCTTTCTTCAGTTTTGTTTTTTTTTTAATTTTATATCGACCCCTCACAAGTTCACCAAAAAGATGAAAAAAAAACATCCTCAACTAATTCTCAAAGACACAATTCAAATTTTCGCGCGCACCTGTGTCGATCGGTTCGAAACCTCGAAGAAAAACATATCGAAAATTCGTATATCGATCCTATAAAATATCGATTACGAACGGCGGGTGTAGGGGACGTAGACAAGGAGAAAAATCTTTCAAGAACGTCGATCTCTTTTCCGCGAATGCCACCCGGGGACTCCCCTCCCCATTTTTTCCCCGAATCCCCTCTCCCGCTGGAGTGAACTCCGCCTCGCCGAATCACTCCGAATGGCGATGAAAAGCCATCGGTGACAAAATAAAAAATGGACGAAAATGGCATGTGAGGTGTTGTTGAATTCCGGTGAAATGTTTGGTTATCGCAGCGACCTAGGATGGGAGGATGCATAGGTATAACCCGGGCAAGAACAGCCTCTGTAGACGATACATCAGCCAATTCAACGAGAACCCATTCAGGTGATTAACCAAACAATAATCATTGCAATCTACCATTCAACCCCATCGTAAACACCTCCACAGGATAGCTTGCTAACCTTGGGTCAAGTATTATCACTTGAAAAGTCATATCAAAGTACTTCACATGGTGTTTACCCTTTTCACTCCATTCATTTCATCTCCATCCTCTCCTGTCCCTTCAAACTGTCCGAAACAGTTAAAGGTCAAGGATGAGTAGTATATCAGTTCTCGATCTATTTATAATATCTCATTAACGTGCCTGATTGACGGTTAAATACGTGTCGATTATTGCTTGTGGGCGGTTGTTCTGGATGGAAAAAGTCGACGTGCTTTCCTTTTGATTAGATAACTCACCATTGACCACCGCTTACTTGGGCTGGGCACTGTCTTTTCCATTGCACACGTTTTTGCTATTAATCGGTTATTTATTATTATTGCTCGGTTTTTTAACAGGCAAAAAATCGAGGGAACAGTCATCGGAAATTAAGGAGCAATCAATCATTATAGCGTCTTAATTAGATATCTTGGTGTAAATAATTCTGGCTTATTTATCTTAAATGACACTTTGTCCCATTATTTATGTTTCGAGTTTTTTTGTGAACAAGACATTTTTTAAAAATTGATCTGATGTCGAAATATTTGATGTTCTATCTTGCATGCACACTTCATTCTCTGAAAAAAATGGAGAATACAAATGATTTTTTAATTTTTGTCATAAATTTTGAATTTTTTAGAATAATCGATTTGGGCAGAACATTTTAATTGGAATTTTAGAAGAAAATATCCATCAACATTTTCGCGAAAACTGAGAAAGAATTATGATATTTTATTATGAAGCATAAAATTCTATGAAATCAAATCATGTATAACTGTGTAGAGATCTAATTTTAGAGTGAACTACGAATTTTTTCACCTGATATACATTGAAAGTTCAATACAAAACTAGAATACGAAATATCATATATTTTTTCGTTTGGGTAGGATAAAATGTCAAACATGTATCGAGTTTCGTTTTGTGAGATCTGGAACATTTGCTATAGAATATCCTGAACTATTCTAAAATAATATATTTCTATTTTGACTTTTTCGGAAAGAATAAATCGGGAAGTGCGATTGAGTTTCTGGTTTTAATAATTTAGGAAAGACGAATAAATATAGTCAAGCTACTTAATCGGAATGATCTATCTGGAAGAAACATTTCAGCTGCAATTTCGTCAAGAATCCCAATAAATATTTTACGGAGATAACTGCTTTTTAATTTTGTTATTTGTAATGAACTGCGCATAAAATTTGTTGTCGGGATGATTAGGAAATTCACGGAAGAATCATCCACTGTGTCACGATGTGATCAGATGGAAGTCGGACGTGCCCCTGACAGAGGGTCAATTGCGAAGTAAACGTGACGAATTTTGGGACACAGCACCTGCTTTCGAGGGAAGAAAAGAGATATGGGATGCCCTGAGGGCAGGAGCAACTGCTGCCGAGGCGCAGGATTATCAGTTGGCACAGGCGATACTAGACGGTGCTAATATTTCTGTACCTGATGGATTTTTAACGGAGTGCTATGACGAGCTGGGGACGAGGTATCAGGTTCCCATCTACTGTCTTTCATATCCAATTAATATTGTTAAGGAAGACAGTGGACGGGATTCACCTGCTGACTGCTCGGGTAAGTCCAATTTCAAGGTTCATTCGTTATTTTTAACCTGGCAATTATGAATTGTTTATGTATACGCAGAACCTGTTGATGGTGGAACTGAATTGACGCTCAAATTGAGACTGTCGACGACCCTAGGGGACGTCAAACTACCTGTGTACAGTAAAGATACTATTGGAATTGCGAAGAAGAAGCTACAGGTGAGGAAGAAAAATTTTTTCTCTATAATTTAGTGTTTATGCATGTTGTTAGTGAACTAACAACTGTAACTACAAGCTGTATATTTTTTCGATACCTGTTTTCAACGAATAACTTGACACTCAATGAAGATAGTGATATTTTTCATAGATACCTTTTTTTATAGCTCTTCTATTTCTCTAAAAACATGTATACGCAAATATATCACTATCTTTCTTCAATGGCGAGATATTAACTATTAACTGGTCTCGAAAAAAATATCCTTCTCCTACTTTACCGCTTCTCCATTGAACGAATATCTTGCATTCGTCAAGTTCGTAGTAATTTTCATTTTTTTACTAATCCAGTTTTAAAGTTAAGTGTAACACGTTGATTTAGCGGACCGGTAAATTTTTTTAGAATGAATTTGTTCTTTTCCTCCCAATGTAAGAGAGATAGCAGAATTTTTGGCGAATATTATTTGTAGCTTCGATACTGCTCCACAAAACAGGTCTTAAGAAAAATTTCGTTATCTCTCTTAGGTTAAGAGATATTCCTCGAAAACTTGAATGAGAAAGAAGTCGTCTTGTTACCCTTTACTTCTTCGCTGCTGAATTATTCAGATCAATCCAATTGTGAGTTGAAATATTCGTTTCGTTGTTATCTCGACTGAGTTTGAACTCGGGGATGATGGTATCATTACTTATTGAAATTTTTATGTCAAAAAGAAAATATCAAGAAAACTGCGTCTATATTTGAAGGTAAAGTAACAAAATTATAATAATATCGATTGTTATAATTACTCCCATAATTGCTAATATCTCCGATAAAAGAAATATTATATTCTCAATCAGTAACCTATCATGCAATTAAATGAGGAAAAAATAAATAACTATTGAAAGAAATGAACAAAAAAGTTCTCAGTAGTAATCAAAACAGGAAAAAATCGATCAATCAATCGTCTCTCAATGAAGATTAATAGACTATAAATATTTAGCTTGGGAATTTGTCAATTTATTACGAAAGTAGTCATGGATTACTATCCCTCATTTTATCGTCGCCTTCATTCTTTTCTGTGATATTCCATTTTTCGATTGCTGAAGCGATTGGAAAGAGAAAAAATGTCATTTGAGTGTAATGCAACTGATATACTGCTTGAATATTATCCATTCTATTTTGTTATTCCTCTCGGTGGTCACGTGCAACTAGTTATCATACAGATGCGTGTTGAATTACTGATTTGATCGAGGAAGTTATCTCCAGATCTATCCAGTAGCAAAGCTGTGGAAAAATATGTACAAACTACAGATAACCACAGGGGGAGGGGGTTGTGAAGGTCTTTTTATAATTCCTGTGTCATACGTAAAGAAATGTTCATGAATATTCCCTTTGTCTTAGAATTCCAAGATTTTTATCAAAAAATTATCTCATTCCACCCCAATTTTTCTTCGCACAATGTTTTTCCTATAATCTGATAGCTCTCTTTCATTTCAATCTATCAAATGATTATACTACTGACGTGATAAAGCTTTAAAAATCGATTGCTAATTTTGCACACCACCAATTGATCTAAAAAACTATTTCATATTAGAAAAAAATGTGAAGAGAATTTTTTATTGGACTTTTAATTAATCACAAACACCTTCATCACTGTTTAATTGATGAATAGATAATTAATCAAAATGTTTGGTTCGACTCATCGCTTCTTATTTATTAATTAATGGAAATGTTAAAATCGAATTTGAATTCAATGACGAAGAGTTTTATAAATTTCTCCTTTCATATAATTGAATTCTTGTGATTAATTCTTTCAGAGTCAAGAAGGACTGGAGCCATCCCGACAGAGATGGTTCTTCGGTGGAAAGCTCCTCGGTGATAAAATGCACATCGAAGAAGCCAAAGTCCAGCCAGGTTACGTCGTCCAGGTAATCGTAAACTCGGAAAAAACCGATGAAAGTCCTTCGAAGACCAGCTGAATAGATCCACACGGATTTCAAAAGAAAAACAAAAACACCTTTCATATCCTCTGAATAATCAACGACAGTCGAAAGTTCGCACTTTGACGTTTTTTCATACCTTCACACGAGTTTCTTTTCACTGAGGTGTGAAGCTGACGGACGTGCGTGGATATTTCACAATGCACTAGAATTGTACAGTAAGACTTGACTGACGGTTTAAGCTTATTCTCTAAACACTAAAGGTTAATAAAATTATTGAAGCTTTTGTACTGTGAAAAAATAATTAGATGATTTTTAAGCAGAAAATGCCTAGAAGTCGGTCACTATCGGTGAGAAGTGATGCCTAATGCAAGTGGATACATAGAAATCGTATATGTATACATAAATATTTTTAACTGCTTGAAATGGGGCTAATTTTGAAGAACATCTTCGCCGACAAATAACTCGTTTGGGAGCTGCAGATTCGGCGCCGATAGCTGAAATCAACAGCTCTCATTAACGACTCAATGATTAATGAATTCATATTCATTAATCTCGTACCGCGCATGAATAAATTGATGGAAAATTCTGGAGCTTCTGTTATACCATCTTATCGGGAATTAAAATTTTTTTTATAAGAATGTCTCAAAGTCAAAATACTTTCATGTTTTTCTATAATTGTTTCTATTGGAATCTTTCTTCTCACCGTTTTTTTTTTGTTCGGTTTTAATCTTGAGTGAATAAAATACAATATTTGAAGCAAAAATTTCTATAAGAAATATGTGAATAAACAAATCGAAATATCGGCTAAAAGCCAAGAAAAGTTTGTTAATTTAAATTGAGACAAGTCGAATTTTTCAGTTAAATATTGATTTATCTAAGATACTATTAATTTTAGGAGGAAAGAACTTAATACCTCTTCTATCGAAAATTTAATCAGTCGAAATAAAGTTTTTTTCAAATTTGTACCGTAAATCGATAATTAAGAAGACTGTTAAATTTGACTTAGTCCATTTTATTATTTTCCTATTGAATTATCCAAAGAATTCTAAAAATTCTATACAATATCCTAGCAAATATATTAAGTTTTATTCCATACAAGCTCTAAAATTTTCTATAAAATTATTTAATCCGCAAAACCAGAAGTAAAAATACAAAACTGAACTATCTAAACTCTTCTCCTCTCCATCATTTCATTCAGTTCATAATTATTCCAAACGATACTGAAAAAAAATTTATAATTCCGTAATTAATGGAATTAATAAATTAATTAATAATGTTCGTTGGAAATTACTAAACAAGGAATTGTTTTGTTCGAATTTCAAAGTCTTAAAGACGAAATATGTGACTCCAGAAGTGAATCAGTCAAGACGGTTGATTTTCAGGCTGAAAATATCTTTTATCCAGGTAAATTTATCAATAAAAATGTTGTCCCTAAATAATATTGCTGTCATATCATTATTGCTATAATTATTTAGACAAAGTACCATCCCTCGTTTGTATTAACGAAGAAATTGTACATGTTTTGAAAAGGTTCATAATTTTTCTAATAATTTTCAATGTTAGCGCTTACTTTGCATAAATAAAAATTCATTTTGATAATTTTCAACGAACGATTCACTTGACACAAGTGAAAATTATTTAAAAAACTCGATTTTTCTCTCACTGTACATGACATAAAAAATTATTTACACACATTCTGCGCACACGTAAATCAATTCGTATTGGTTTTTTTATCGGGTGTCCTCGAGGTGAACAAACCGTTATCGTTAGTGAATCGTTTTGTTTTTGCGGTGCGAATTATTTACGAGATTCGCATATGGTGGATGTGCCTGAGGGTACTATCTGTCGAGAGGATGAAAAATATGGATACGATGGAGATTGTGACATCACATTTGTATATCTGGCGAATTAATTAAATTTTATGGTCCTAGCGCTTCATGCATAATCCGTTATTGTTTTCGTGTCGTGTGTGAATATATTATGAATTTCATCAATAAAATATTTTCAAATAGGAGAAGAGAGTCATGGAGTGGCTTTGAGGAAGAAAATGTGTGACAAAGTGCTAAAGATCAATCAGGATAATTGCATTTCACCTTCGATCAATTTTCGATGAATATCTGGTTAATGAAAAGAGATGGAGGAATTTTCATAACTATCTTATTTGTAAAGCAATCTGGAGTAAAAAAAAATATCTATATAAAAATCTTGCCACCTCCTTTCATTTAGAAGATATTAATGGATAATTGGGGCTAAGCCAATGCACTTGTTCTAATTCATAAATTTTGTAATTTCACCAATGCCCAATGTTTGTAAATGATTACAAATGGAAAATAATTTAATGAAGTTTCACTATTTCTCCTCAAAGTCATATTCTTTTAAAAAATCATCCTCGAATCCCATTCAATGCTTTCAACTAAAAAATTACGATAGAAACCCGAAGAGGCGAGAACAAACTGTAAAAATTAGTGATGATATACGAATGAATAACGCATTTATTTATAATCTAAATGAAACCTAATTTTGCGACAAATGAGGATTTTTTTTTTCTATCAGACTGATCGTGCCAGTTGATCCTCCCGGTGGGTTTTCTTGAATGAATTATCGAGAATTGGCGCAAATAGTAAGACTATTTTATTCAGAATGTGAAATACTCGTGCACCCTTGGGCGATCTCTGGCTCGAAAAATCTATATTATATAAATATGAACACTGAAATATATATATATATATCTATATGTATATGTATTCGATACATGTGAATAATAAGAAAAAGTTGAATACGATAAACCGTATCATCTGTATATATGAGGAGAGAATGGCTACAATAATTAATTAATCAATTAATAAAAGTGCAATTTGAGGTGTAGAAGGGGGTGAGAGTCGATGGAAGGTGAATTGCTTTAAAAGAATAATTCAACACTAATAATTAGTCACGGACCAATGTGTATGAGGCTGCACGTTTTGAGATGATTAAAATTGTATAAATCGATGGGTGACTGATTGGAAAACGACTGCCACATATTTTTAAACAGTGCGATACATTCAAATCAAAATAACGTGATAAATTAATGACTAATGAGAAATTAAAAATACATAATGCGTTACTTAACAATGTAATTCATGAAAATTTAATGATACAACTTTCTTCTGGGAAGTTGATGAATGATGTGCAGGGTTTAATAATTTTCTAAATGTCCAATCAAATATTTCAGGATTGATAACATTTTTAGGGGATATTTACGAGGTCTAATCCAATCAAGTCTGATCCAGGGAGATATAATGGGAGGGAGATGTTGAGGATATCCAATAGAGCAGTCTTTACGATAAAATTCACTCGTAATCACGCAATTATTTTATTTTTTTCGGTGCGGAATAATTGATTTCCCTAGTGAAGTGATAAATTCAATCAAGACTTCGTGCGTTTTTTGGAAATATATCTTCGGAACTAAAGTAAATAATTAAATCTTTATTGAAGAATTCATTAATATTAGTTTATATAATGACTGTGATGCCTGGATATCATCAACTCTCTCAATTTTCAAACGTTTTTCAAGATTTTTGAATCACAAATTTTTCACTGGATTTCAGTTTTCTATTACCAACAATGAACCACCAATATTTGCATAAATAACTTTAGAATAAAAAAATGGAAAATTTCGACCAACAATTTTCATTTCCTCCCATTAACTTTTAATGTAACAAATTTAATGACTGTAATTTTAACGTTTGTAAGCAATTAATCATTGTTATAAGGCAGAAAACACGTTGACGAAATAAACGAGCATAATGTTGTGAAATAATTCTTCCGAGTGGTTTATTCGTCGTTTTTATTATGAACTTCGAGTGACACGTCTTTACATAGTATGTACATGGAGTTTTACTTGGGGAGTGCCCGCACGTGTTTGAGCTCATGACAGAGCCAAATTGCTGTGCTAAGGAGAAGCATGCTTCCCGATTGATGTGATGCTGCCAAGATGACAGGAACGTGATGAAGAAGAGTTGAAATTCCTAGAATTACTTGAAGATATCCAGCCCCCAGAACTACGAAAGCTGCTGTCGATGCTCGACCTGGGAGCTTTACCTTTCGAGATTTAACTGCCATTATGGTGATCAATGTCAATGTTGTTATACCCTGCACAGAAGAAAACCAGAATTCTTTGCAGCTCCAATTTCACCCTCCATATCGCTTATATTGCAGTTTTATAGGAATTGTTTGTACACATATAATAAAGAACTTACGAGTATTCTATGATCAAATTGAACTGTAGTTGGATTCTCTGTGAAGTTCTTGAGAATAGGGGACATCTCCAGCAGTTCATTCGGAATGAATCTCTTGCCCATCCTAGGGAATTCGTTATAAATCAGGCCAGCATCGAGTCCAGCGACAAAAGCTCCAGAAATAGCAGTGAAAAAGACAAAAGCTTTGCTCCAATTAGCCATTCTCTTGAAGTTGACTAGTGCCTTGGTGTGATGATCAGTCAAGATCTTCTTTCCGAACCAATCAAGGGGCATTGGTTTGGCAGGCAACAGATGATCGAGTGCATTGTACAAGAATCCAGCGTACAGCAGAAAAGCTAGACCCAGATGAGTTGCTAATCGATACTGGGAGACTCTGGGGACGTCTGAGGGTCCCTCAAACCTGTCCTCCAGTCCTGATTTCACCATGTACCAGCCCATCAGACCCTGGGCACCAATCAATGATCCCAGGGCTAAAACTCGGCTCTTCATTCCGGGTTTTAGATAGCCTTTGTACCAGAAATAAGCAGCTGGAAGTGCAAATGCTGCCCCTATCAGTCTACCCCACATACGGTGAACGTATTCCATCCACCAGATTTTTTTGAACTCTTCTAGGGTCATGGTGTGGTTCATTCTGAGATTGAATGGATAGAAAAGAAATATTGATTTTTAAAAATGAATGGAATAAAAGATACTTTCATTTGTTATTTTAGCCACATGAGAAAGACCAAAAGCTAGGAAAAATTTAATTTGATAGAGAATCGGAGTTTCTTCGGGATTCTATAAACAATAAATTTTCTCTAGAAATTTCAATGATTTCAAATAACAATGGCAGAAGCAATTGAAATTAAAAATATCTCTCATAATAAAACAATAATTTCTCTGAAAATTCATTGACTCGAGGGATCGAGTAATAAAAAAGATCAGAGTTGTAAAAATCTCCTACAATAAACAATCACTTGCAATTTATATTCTGGATATTGTTTATATCTCTCAAATTCCTCGACCCATTGACCCTCGGACACTGGCATTTTCTCACCCAATAATTTCCACGTTACCATGGACAACCCAGACTCTGTCAGCCTCGTTATTCCACCTGAATCATTGCAAGGATTTTCCGGAATTAATACAATCCACAGTTCATTGGTTAAAGGCATTTAATATGGAAACTGTGTACAATAATTGTCGATTTATTGTTAATATTTTAAACTCATCATCACTTAAATTCTAATTTCGATTGAAAATCTCCAAGAATTCGATAATAAACCAATAAATAATTATCAAATATTGATAATCTTCAACGATTACTGTTCTCAATAAATATTATATTGATATTTAAATAGACTTCAGAACATCATCATATACATATCAATTTATTTATGAATTTATTGTCCTTTCAGCGAAAATAAAAATGATCGTAGGAACAAAAAGGTATTATTTTCCCCACGTCTTGTCGACAATTTCCCTCATAACAGTTTTCACAAATTCATAAATACATGAGTAAATAGCAATACCTAGTGCTACAGCAACAAAGACCATTCCACTGCACGTAAAAAGCCATGTGCCGACGCGCCTGTTAGTTTTTTTGTTGACAGCCGATGCAAATCTGAAAGTTATCGCCCCAGACTGGGTCGTCAGACCCGAAGGGGATCTCCATTTTTCTGTAGTCTCACGTAAAATCCTGAGAAAGTCATTCGGCCTTTTTTTAAGTGGACCGTAAAATGTTCTTTGAGGCAAGAGAGATAGATTTGTCAGTGGAACCCTTGGAATTCCCCTGCTGCTTAATCTCGAGACACTCAACATTCTGAAAAGCATTCATGGGTGTAGTCATTGATCGACGGGATTTTAATTTAATGTGTGCAACTATTTATTGAATGTAAAATCAGTTACGAAAGGCAAATTTTCTTATATCGAATCTTTTAATTCCTTTTCAATATTTTATTCGATCTACGCATATTTAATGAATCTCATGAAAATTCAATTGATCAATCCATTTCATTAATTATAGACTGATCTATTGATGTCTGAAAGTTGGAACTTAAAAGAAAACAAATATAAATGAATATAATAAACGTCTCTCTGAAATAATCCCCTAAAACATAAAAGTATGACTTTCGACAATCAATTTCTTTACTTAAAAGAAAACAAAAAAATTATTGAATTTCAGCGGATGCAATGTAATTTCCCAAGTAATTAGACATTTAGATTAATAAAAAATTATATTGGGTAACGAATCAGATGTTCTTTTAGGTATTTACCTTGTAGATGTTTTGATTCGAATAATTTCTGAAGACTTAACCTCAATTTTTGTTTACGGAAATCCACTCCAAAGGTTCCAGAGTGATCAATCCACCTGTGAGTGATCATTAACAGTGATAAATAATTTTCTAACGTTTATCATTCATTGCATTGATTTATTATGGATTACAGGTGCTCACCAATTAATTACATCATATGACGACACACCGACAAAAAGAAATAATATGATCGAAGAATCCCCGGCTTGATAAGTAATAGAGGTTGTCCACATTCAAAATTACTGATTACTCCCTCCGTAAGAATCAGTAACAATTCGCATGTGAAACCGGTGATAATTGATGTAAAATCACGGAGAATCAATGCGGTGTGAATTGTTTCATGTCTAACGACGAGAAGTAAAACTCAAATATTATGGAGCACTTGAAAAAATTGAAAAGGAGAAAACGCGGTGAAAATTAAAATCTTTACGAGAGTTGGAAACCTCGGGCAACTTATAATGTAGATTTAATGGGCAATGGTAAATTAAAAAGTGGTTAAATCATGACTAAAATGAATACGACTATACATAACTCCTTTTTTGGTTGTTAGTTTAAAAATTGTCTAAGTGTCAGAATTTGTATTCCTTTGACATTTTTCTCTTTTCAAAATGATTTATCAATTTGTTATTCAAAATATTTTTTGATCAATCCTTTAAGGTGTTACATGAGTATCGCAGGTTAAAAACCCGATTTTTTCTTCGGCTTATGAATTTCCACAATGTCTACAATATTATCCCAAAATGAAAAATCGATCGGAGTAAAAGTTTCAGGATAGAGTCGTAAGAAAATTGGAGTACCAAGGCCTAGCGTGATTGTCGCTGAAAACCTCGAGAATACAGTAGTACTGACGAGAAATCATTCATATCATTGGCTGCTACCTCTCACAACCAAGACGAAAATATCTCCAGTAAGAGTATATGCACACACTCAATCTTTGATTTAGTATTACGCAACAGCATGCACTCAGTGTGAAAATCCACACTGAAGATCACGAAAGCACAACATGAGCCACCCAGATGGAGAGCCTGAACATCGATGACGTCGATGACCCAGAATGCAGGTGGAGTTGTCTGGGTTGTTGTGGTTGTTGTAGTTGTTGTTGGGCAGAGTTAGGAGGAAGGGGCAGTGAGTATTATTTGTACCGTTGGGTGTTGTACGTGGGTTTAGGTGCAATGCAGAGGCGAGGCAACGTGTTCACTCCATGACGTTACGAGTCAGGTATTCACCGGTGAAACAGTTATGATACGTGTAATTAACTTGCTATTGGTATTTCTCCAGGAAGGTCACTGAATCTCGCTCCATTGCATTATTTTATATCGGCGTGAAAATAGGATTATTCCACTGGTGAAAAATGCCTGACGTTATTGAGCAGAAGATTAAACAAGTTTTGGGGGGATTGAGTCTAGCTGACAGTGATCAACTCTGTGATTTCACTCTGGTTGAGCAGAACGAGGCGATTGGTATGTCCTTTCTTTTTGGTTATTTCTTCACATGTCAACAAATTAGTGAAGTTTTTTTCTTGAAGTTTCTCGGAGACTCTTTGAGTTGTCCATGTGGAAATTTGAGAAAATAAACTAGTATGATAATTACATTAATTGGCGGCAAACAGTTTCATTTGAGACTAGTTTGATGGGAATGTTATTTGCTGTTGGTGGAATTCTTTCTTATTTTCTCAGTGTTGCGAAATATAATGGATTAGTTTATTTTAATTCGATTTATGGAAGAGATTGAAGTGAAGTTAGATTGGAGTTTTATGGGAAATTTTATTTGTTTAGAATCATATTACTGATTTATTATGAAAGAAGCTAGAGAATAAAAAAAATGGAAGCGATATTCCACTTGTCGTGGCTACGTGTGATTTTTGACTATCATTTTTAATGCAGAGGCTCGAGGTATTCAACCGACAGCGAGCTCGAACTATGTCCCCATCTGTCAGAAGACGGTCACCTACATCGTGGCAGCAGTTCTCATAAATGAACACGAAGAAGTCCTCATGATTCAAGAAGCAAAAGCATCCTGCGCTGGCAAGTGGTACCTCCCAGCTGGAAGAGTAGAGCCAAACGAGAATCTCTATGACGCAGTGAAACGCGAAGTCCTGGAAGAGACTGGTCTCTCGATGGATCCTAAGTCCTTGATAATGGTGGAGTGCGCCAGTGGATCGTGGTTCAGATTCGTCATGACTGGAGAAGTCACTGGGGGAACACTTAAGACGCCTGATCAGGCAAATGCTGAGTCTCTCCAGGCGAGTTGGGTGAAGAACGTAGAGGATCTGTCACTGAGATCAGCTGACATCCTTCCACTGATCCAGAGGGGACGGGATTATCGAAAGGGCGTCAATCCACCTTGGCACAGTCCCATTTTACCAGCTGACAAATCCAGGGAGAAACTCTTTCTCAGGCTCATTGTCTGCATCAAGAGGAAAGCTACTAATCGAATGCACGTATTGTTGTCAGAAAAAACATCCCTCCACCTTCCAGTCTGCGAGATAAACCCCAACAGGAACTTGCACTCGACGTTGCATAAATTCATGGTCGAAGTGTTTGGTGACGGAGTGGCCCAGCATCGACCCCATGGCCTCCTCTCCGTGGAATTCAGTGGTGGAAGTGGTGGTGATGGTCTGTGCTTCACTCTTCTCATATCTTTTCGCCCTCCCCTCGAAGAAGTCCCCATAAAGGGAAAATATGTGTGGCACGAACTAGCCCAGAATGTTGCCGATGGTCTCGCCCAACGTCTCCCGAAGAACATGACTGTTTCTTTGAATGTAGTTCGTTGAATTCAGTCGAGTTACTCGTCATTTAATCCTGCAAGATTGATCTTGAATAAATCCTAGAGATCCCCGATTCCTAGTAAAAAAAATCCTGAAAATATTTCATTCTAATAACAAAAAAATGTCGATTAAAAAACCGTGGGAATTGCGTCTTATCAACTTTGAAAACCAAAAACGATTCCCATTAAATTCATTTTTCAAGGACTGCAAAATCATTTTGTCAGGATTTTTTTCTATAGTATTAAATGACCTCTCACCATCCAATCTCCTGTCCAAATTGTATATAAATGTTTCATATTGATGACAGAATCTATTTATATATTCTAACATGTACGGAAAAGATCAATAGAAAGCCGTGTTTTTTATTAAGAAAGTTTATTCAACAATTCTATTTTCATCAGGTAGAAAGGTTGCCTAAAAAATTAATTGAGAGATATTTCCGATGCGGATGTATTGCAAATTTTATCCATTGTTTTGGAAGGAATAAAAAAACTTCTATTGAATTTTTTCATACAAACAATCGATTGTAAATAAGAAATCTCATTGTAAATCAACTGATACTTTTCTACATGAAGAGAAAAAGAGAAATCAATTAGAAAATTGATAGAAATGATAAATTAAATGTAGAACAATTGGTGTTCATCCATATTTAGACAAGAGAAAATCTCGTTATTAATCAAGAAATGTATTTTTCACCTGACCAAGAAACGCATCACGATGACTTTTTATACATTTCATTGTAAGTTGAATTTATTCCAAATAATATCATTAATTCTAACCAGTGGAGTTGATTTTTAATTACAGTTGTTTTTGGTTGTGAGTAATTAATGAGAAGACGTAAATAATACATTTACTCATCATAATTTATCACAAAAAACAGTTCTTCTTACGTATCAATTATTTAAGTGACAAGGTATGACTATTGAGTTAGATTTATGGCAGCCTGTGCTCTCTCCTGTACAATTCGTTCAGCTCGGTAAACTTTCCAGCATATCAGGTAATCCCTCGCGAGTTTGAAGAGAGTGTAGTAATTGGTAACGAGCAGCAGTGTCATCGAAAGTACCTGGTACCACTCGACGGTTCTCAACAGTATGAGTAATTGTACTGCGACGAGAACTAATTGGAGACTCAGTAAGGAACATATCAGCATTGTAGGATTATTGAATAGTGCATAAAACCTGTAATGGCTGGAGTTCCCTGGTTCTGCCGCAGTACAAAGTCCCTCAGACCTGTACAACTCTTTATTGTACTTGACAAGGGATCCATGAGGCCACAGCACAGAGTCACTCCACAGCTGCGACGGTATGTGAACATTTTTCCCCTCGACTTTCGACCATTTTCCTAGATGTAGTGCTGCTCGATGCAGAACATCGCAGTATCTCACAGGATACGCCTGTGCGAAATGAGCGCTCACCCTTCCCAGCCAGAACAGCACAATATGCTGTACAACCCACGTGAAATTGAAATGCAGATGCTGAGGAACGAAAATAACGGGAGCGATTCCGCAGACGTAAGCACTCCCAGAAGATGCGAAGAGTGCTCTCTTCAGTCTCCTATTAAAATCAGATCTCAAACTGGAGACCTCAGCCCTGATGGCTGGAGCATTGAGAGAGCAATTGTGCAGTGGTTTGTCGAGGAGGAATTTCGTCTTCCTGTCCTCCTTGACGTAGAGTGGAGCAGTGGAGATATCGAAGAAGGGTCCAATGCTCACTCCAAACATAAGAAAGTAAACAGAGATGCTGGGGTAACAGAGATAAAAAACTTTCATGGAGTTGTGTCTCTCGCTCATGTAGTAGAGGCACCACAGCAGAATTATCACGACGAAAATAAGAAGAATTATTCTCATGGTTCTCTGGGTGGTGGGCAGCCATCTCGCTGGGCTCACAGCATCGACAAATCTCCGCAGTAACGCGTAGACGAATCTTCTGGCTACCATCGTCAGGATGAAGACGAGGAGGTAGGGGTCAATGAGGTAGAAATTCATGCTGTACTCGTTGTACGATTGGGGCAACCACCAGACTGCTCTGTACAGGTTCAGGAGTTGGAGACAGGCTGCCAGAATTGAAATGCCCAGGGAGAGGGCCTCGAACATCAGCTGATCATCCACTGGAACTGCTGGAATGGGAACGTGCTTTGGGGCTAGCAGTCTGCCATTAGGGGAATCAAGCTTTTTGTCCTCGGTTTGGGGACATGGTGGGCATGACGGAGTGCTCGAGGACACGTTCAAAGGCCGTCCTGGACCATTTCGTGAGGGGTTCCGTCTTGCTCCTGGCATAATCAGTCATTTAGGGGTTTTAGCGACTAATGTGGACTACTGTTTCAGCTGAAAATCGAATTTTTATGATTTTTAATGGAAATTATAGAATTTTCTATAAAATTTACAAAATTAATAATTGATTGGTTTGTCTTTCAAGGTTAATTATAGAACCTTAAGTTCAAATACCCGCAATAAAGATTGTATTGTTACAGATTGGAGGGAAATTTGTTGACCTTTCAAAAGATTTGGTCAGAAAATTAATGATATTGAAAAGACTAAAGATCATTTTTTACGTGTTAGTTACTCTTCCATTTGAAATTAATTTATATACTATTTATAATCAAATCTCTAGGCGAAGTCTATCCTTAATTTTTTACTAAATGTGTTTAGTAAAAGCGTTAAGGTTAGAATGTCAACTCACCACTGGTGAATAATTTCTTGACATTTTTCCTTAGAACCCTTTCTTCGCTAAACTTGTCATTGGAAATTCTAAGCGACTTCATTCATCTCACAAAAGTTATCCTTGCGTTAGCACCTGGACATGTTGACAAATAGGCCTGAACCTTGTCCCTTATTCCTAGAAACCCAAAAAACAACAATTGATAACAAATGGGCAGGTGGCAGCAGCAATTTGCCCTTGAGAGTTATATTCAAGTCCTATTGGACGACTTGAGGCCAAGAGATTTTTCGAAATTCAGATGTTAACTGTTTATTGCGATTATATTTATATTCGATATTTTAATTGATAAAATTAATGCTTTTTCTAATTCCTGTCAAGAAAAATTTCCAAATAAAACCGTGGTATAATTTCCCCGATTACATCTCTAATTAACACACGTTAATATCAACATAAACAAATTTAATACAGACAAATGTAACACACACATGGATCAGAGTTTTCAATAAATTGATCGTGTATCAAAATTGAATGAAAAACAGACAAGAGTACAAAATCAATCTGTAATACAACATATATATTTGATGAATGACTAAAAATGATAAAAAATAGAGGGTTAATGCTCATCCCCACGTTGAATGTGGGGGTTAATTTGACTTAATTAGGGTTAAATTCACGTGAGTGTATAGATGAATGTATTATGTATTAGCACCTCCAGATAGAGATATCGCAGGGGATTCATATGAGGAGGTGATTAATGAGTAACCGAAACATTAATTATCATTCTCATAAAACATTCAGGAAGGCATTTGCAAACGGGAATTCCATTTAAAAAAAAACGATAGTGCGTAAAAAGGTTGAAATTAATCCGTTGGCGGGATTTGGAATGAACCACTACGCATGCGTATTGCATATAACCCCAAAATCAACTTGAAATGAATGACGCGTTTGTACTACTTTCCATTCCGTGTTTGGATCGATTAAATTAGTAAACAAATTACTGTCAGACATCGAATTAACTTGCCCCAAAATTTGCTGTATGAACACAATAAAATAGGAAAATGTCAAGTCTCTACGATCAAGTGAAACTTCTGTACGATCAGCAATTATACTCCAATGTGATATCCCTCGTGAGTACTCCAAAATGTGTCAAATAGTCTTAAATCATTAATTTATTCCCTGATAATCTCTCATAAAATTGAATTGAGTTAATTTTCGTTCCAGGCCAATTTAGTATTATCTCTAAGTGACCACAATGGAGATCTTGTCTCACCAACAGCCAAATTCCTTATATATGTTCATTGTGCAGACTCGCATTTTCACTTGGGTGATTACAGAAAAGCTGAATCTTTGTACAAAAAATCGTTGCAGTTTAGGAAATTTTTGTTGAAGTCCAAAGGGGCGACTAAACCTTCACAAGAGACTCACAAAGATTTGTTATCGGATATTGATATTAAGTACCAAATTCATGTGTGTTTGATTAAGTTGAAGAGTCAACTCGAGGCATTACAAGTACTCCAGAGTATTCCAGCTAAACAAAGAACTGCAAAGGTACGAATACAATTAGGGCAGTCTTGGGTAATAAGAACACGTTTTTATTTCAATTACTTTAGTTAAATAGAGAAATTGGAGCTATTATGTAGATGCAAGCGCCTTCTTGAAAATCACTCAATTATTATGGGACTTCAATTAGAATTCGGACAAAAATATATATCCTTATATATCCTTATTTTCTACGGTTCAGGTGAATATGGCCCTAGCAAAAATATTCCAAGAGCAGGGAATGGAGCGTTCAGCTATAACGACCTACAAAGAAGTGCTTCGTGAGTGTCCCCTTGCCCTCGAGGCCGCTGAAGGCCTTCTTGCTCTTGGCGTCAAAGGAATTGAAGTCAACTCTCTGATTGTTGGATCATCCTCGAATTTACCTGGCCTTGACTGGCTGAATACGTGGATAAAGGCCCACGCTCATATCCACAATCGAGAGTATAATCATGCGGTGACCACTCTCCGTTCGTTAGACAATGTTAATTTTTTGAGGGATAATTTTAGTCTCCTAGTTACAATGGGCGAGTGTTATTATTATGCTGGGGACGATAAAAATTCGTTGGCCTGCCTGAGGAGAGCCAAAACTATTGAACCAGATACTACCAAAGGGTAAGGCATGATTTAAAGTTTTGTGAATTTAATAATCAATTGGCGTAATGAGATTTTAATTGATAATTTAATTTAATTTAATTTTTGAGAATTTAATTCAATGTCAACTGGAAACCCAAACAATTCGATGTTGCGAATTTTCTTACGATTTTCTTTTTTGTAGAAATGTCTCTTTCGATACACAAAAGCACTAATTTTTAATTAAAAAAATAATTTCTTTTGGTTTCGTAGGCTCGACCTTTATGCCTCAGTACTCCACAAGACAGGTCACACAAAAGAATTGGAAAAATTGATCCCAACAGTATCCACCGCTGGCGAGTGTACATCTGAGGTCTACGTTGCAATGGCGTACACATTGTACGCAGCTCGAAAATTGAATCGAGCTAATACTCTGACATCGCAAGCAATTAATCTCAATCCATCGAACGTTGAGGCGATTATTCTGCGAGGGAACATTCTGATTGAGCAGAAGAAGTATCAGGATGCCCTACATCAGTTCAGACAAGCAATGCAGTTGAAACCGTATCGTTACGAGCCATACAAAGGATGTGTTGATTGTTTTGTTGGGATGCATCGGTTACGGGAAGCCTTGAATATTGCTAGTAGCGGATGTAAACAGCTTGGACACACCCCGAGAGCTATTTCGGTGAGATAATGAACATTATTTTCAATTGCATTCATTACTTGTGGAATTTTACGTGGAAATGATTTTCTAGCTTTATGCATCGGTGTTAATGAAAGATCCGGTGTCAGTTCCAAAAGCGAAAAACCTTCTGGAGAAGGCCCTAGCCCAAGATGAGTCCTACCTGCCAGCAGTTTATTTTCTGGCGGAAATTTACGAGCAGGAAATGAACCTCGAACGTGCCATTGAACTTTTAGAGCGTCAGGTTGATATCCAGCCGACTTGTAAACTCCACCAAATGCTGGGGGACCTTTGGGCGAGAGTCCATAACGAGGAAAAAGCCATCGATCATTACGCCATTGCCCTGAATCTCGACCCTAGCAACAGAAGGGCTCTCGAGGGAATGCACAGGCTTGACAATACGGTCTCAAAATTTGAATCATCGTACTACATGACTGTCGGTGAGGAACACGCAGACACGACTTTCGACGTTGGCGATGGCCTCCCAGATTCCGATAATGATGAAGCTAATGAGGAAAGTGAAACTGAGGCTGTATGGTCAGACATGGATCTCGAGGCCAACAGTCAATAGTGACGTATTAATAAAATCGAGAAGTTGATTTAATTTATTTCTTCACCGTTAACTGAAGAAATTATGCTCGTCTTACAAGACTGATGTATTTATATTTGAATTACTTGAATTACTGCGATATTTGATCAATCATTGTCCCTGTTTATTTTCGTTGAAACGCAACGATTATGCTCTTATTTTCTTCAATCGATGAAATTTACATGACTAATTGAGTTATATAATGGAGTGAAACAAATAAATTGAATTGTGATTTTTATTTATATATTCATTTTCCTATTTAAAAAAATCCTGTTTTTTCAACCTTTCAAAATATTTGTAGATTTATTATTTATTGATTAGCATTTTTACTATAGGAGAGGATGAGATAATAGGGAAAATGAATATCGAACATTTTTTGTTATTGAAGTGCTCATTATGAGTTTTAACGAGAATAATTAAAAACAGAGACACTATTATGTACAGTGTCATTTATTTACTAATAATATTTACAGATAATCATAATGTAATACTCAAAATCATTGCACTATTAGTTAATACAAATGGGACAAAACGGTGGCTAATAATGATATTATATGAAATTACAAAATATCCATCTCTTGGAAAGTTTCATGGGTAGAATCGCTCGGTCTGTCATAACTAAAATATGATACATAAGTTGTCAATTGTAATTTCTCTAAATACCTGGAGAAAACAGAATTAATTATAGACCTCGATTTCACACTTGTGCTTGTAGCATCGCGAGTTAATTTCAGATTAAATTCAGTGTCTAAAAATTGAACAAGTGGTTGTGCCTCCGGGGAATCAAAGTCGATGTTGAAATCTCCACTCAAAATAATTGGAATTTTATCGAAATCAGTTCCAAGTAAGGCAGCCCCTTGAATAGTGTATTTCAGAAGAACTTCATTCAGGAATGTAATAATTTGAGAGATTTCTCGATTCGCGGACACATACATAATGACGGTGAGAATAGTTTGACTGTTATCCAGATTGCAGCGGGCAGCACAAATTTCCCCAACTCTGCTTGAATTAACAATGAGACAAGTGCTTTGACGTAGATACACATCCATATGACATGTGACGACTCTCGTCCTATCACGAGCACTTTGATAGATAGCAGCTGGACCACTAATTGCTCCCGATCGTTTGAACCGCGCTGTGCAGTTGAAGTCAGGCATGACAAGTGCCTCATCTTTCTCCGAACTCATCTCCGCAAGGAGTAGAATTTTTGATTTCATATTGACAATCGCATTGACATCTTCTGAATTCCTAAGATCCTGACAGCTGAAGGACAATAGCGCAAGCTGGCTTCTGCTGTTGATAAAATCAATGATGGCTTTGGCCATGATCATCGGTTTCTCAACAGCAATTCCACGAGACTTCTGTAAACTTGTGATCGATACTTTCTTTCGTCCCTGATGAAATGTCGGATCATTATTCGGAGTGACGATGTAGAGTTTAGTGACATTCGAGATGTGTGATAATGCCATGTGTAAAACTTGCTGAGAGTGACCTCGACTGTATTCATAGACGATCTCATTAAAATGTGACCCTTGAGAGTCGCTAATAGTCATTGCCCAAGCAGAAACCAGTGGAAATTGACATCTCGTTCCGATAATCGTTTTTTCATCATTCGCGAAAATCTTGGACGTATGTCTTCTTATGGGTACAGCTTTTTCACTGATCTTGTTCTTTCGCTTGTAAATACAGATGTTTATGTTAGTTGAGAGATTATTTGGAGGCATATTGTAGAATTCTAGCCAGATGCACTTTATTTTATCCTTTTCATGTTCGATGTGCACTAATTTTCCCAAGAATCCAAACTGAACTCCAGGTAGGTCATCAACGCAGGCTATCAACATGTACATTTTGTTCATCACAAATATAATTTCGTACGGTAAACCCCCGGCTTGAGCAAGTGGCACATCACGGAGTGATTGGATCGATTGCCTCTGCTCTATTTTGTCATCAGAGATGTGAGTGTCGTTCGCCTCCGAGATTACTTTATCTTTGGAGGATCTGATGATAGATTTATTGTACTCATCAACGGCTTCTTCCGACAACATGAGATGAACTCCATCGGGTATCACTCGATTGGCCTCTTCTCGGGAAAAGAATCTAGATTCAAGCAGTTGTAACTCAGCCTCATCCAAATCTACATTGCGCCCAATTTTTGATAACAATAATGAGAACAGGCGATTCGACTGCGATATGATTTTTGTCAAATCAAAAAATTTGAGTTCATCCCAAACAAGATGAATACTTCTCCACTGAAGCTCGGGCAATTTCTTATAATCACCAGTCAGAATTATATCGATTCCACCGAAATGAAGAGTGGAATTGTTGGTCAGTTGTTTGAGAATTTTATCAATCTGCGACAACAGCAATCCATTCATCTCATTATTATCTCCTATTATCAATACCTGTACGTATTCGAATAAATCCCGATATTTTCGTGAGGCCTCAGGAGACAAGTTGAGAACATCAGCAAAGGAAACTGACAAAGCAGTATAAGTGGTTGATTGATTAACCAGCATTTCAGACTTGTCAGTTATTCCAAGATTCATGTACACATTGCAAGTGCCACTTTTCTCATGGCAATTATAGATTTCCATGAGTAGGCGACTTATGAAGATCTTCTTGCAATTGGCTGGACCACTCAGGAACACGTCAAATGGTGAGTCATTTCCTGTGAGGAGTCTGAACATACCGTGCATAGGATGGATCTCTATTTCCTCAGGCAATATGAACACTGGCTCGCAGGATGATACATCATCCAACGAATTCTCCTGACTGTCCACATCACTGCTAATTTCATCCACAGCCATGAATTCGAACTGATTGTTGACTCCTGAATATTTAGAATTAGTGATCGCGGCATTTCTGGGATTATATAGCTCCTCGAATGGATCATGTTCTGTACTAGTGGCCCCCAGGTAATTCACATCAATCTCATCGTCGATGACATCTTCCTTTCGGCAGAGTTGATTACATCTATCCATAATTGCCTGGATATCCATATCTGATTCGAACTCCTTTCGATTGGCGCGAATCACTTGCCGGTGTTTATCATAAAGCTCAAGGAATTTCCTATCAGCGAGGACATCTCGCTTTTCATTGCGAAAAGGTACATGGAGCGTTACCATTTCTCGCTTGTAGTCTTTAAGACGCGTGAACCGGTTGTAATTTTGATAACGAATTATACGTGGAGTTTTCCGTTTCACATACGCGGTGTTGCTGAAGTTCCGTGTGTAGTGGGCAACGAATTGAGCAAGTGTGACCGTTTCGAGATCAGCAGGTCGTTTCTCATACATAACGAACCAACTCTCTTTCCAGAAATTTTCATTCTCTATCTCTAGTTCCCCATATTCATCATAATTCCTTCGTATCGCTTGTCGTGCTGATGGCCATACAGTTTGAATATGCGCTATCGTAGAAGAACTCTTGGATATAGGTTCACGAAGCAAGTACCATGCCGCCTCTTGACTCGTGAATTCAACGGTATTCAGCAGATCACCACTCAATCGCCTGAAGATCTCGGACAATTTCAATTCAGAATTCTGATCCATTATCTCTATGATCTTGTCTTGCAGCTCAGTGATGCCCCTGTCAGTCCTATTTACGTAATCCACAACGAAATCAGCACAAGATCGTTCGTCCGGAAGGAATTGTATGTTCATGTGTCCTTGGAGGACATTGAGAATGAAAGGATTAAAGGCTTCGTGCCACTTTTCAGAGGGCTCGCGTTTCAGAAAAACTCTTGGCCGAGTGATTCCTGTTCGAAGAATATTGACATACTGTACGTCTGAAAATATCTTATTAGCTTTGTAAAATGTAGCCAAGTCCGAGTAGGAACAGTTCTCCAAATTCTTCCGGATGTTCTCAAAATGTCTCGCATTCCTCATGAATTCAGGTCCTGTTTTGTCACTTGGCTCTAAGATCATAGTGGATCGACACGGCATAAACGGCGCATGAAACCGACAAGTCCGTATTGCTCCTTTCTTGTAGCATGCAGAAGTATGTTTGTGCGCTTGGAGTTCGATATGCCCTGAAGCCTCTCTTGTTGCCACTGACATGAGCTGATCTATCAAGGAAATGGCAGCCTCTTTGTCAGCGCCGAGTGGATCTTTCGGTGCATTTTCCAGCCAAAAGAGGATATGAACGCAAGGACTTCGGTGATATTGAAACTCAATTCTCTGGAAATGATGGATGACACGATACTTTTGAAACGGATTATCATCTTGACCCCGAAGAAGAGAGATGAGCACATTAACTAGCTTATTGAAATATATCACACACGTTACCACATCATCATTTACCAATCTACTTTTCTCGACGTAATTCAATGCCGAAGCAGCCTCTTCCGAAATTCCTTTGCCGTTATTTCTCAGTTTGTACAATAGCTGCAACAGAGGAATCCAACTGATTTCATTAGCACTGATAGTCAGCGATAATGTAGGCCTCCCCAAATGTCTCATAGTGGCAAGAAGGTCTCGCTTCCGTTCTTTCCAAAACCAAATCGAATTCGGTATGCATCTTAAGAAGCCAAGATTGCTTCCAAGGCACTGGTCAAAAGTCTCTTCTGATAGAATCTGTTGTTTGACGGTGTTGGTATCTCCCTCTGCATTACTACAGGCGGAATTGAGAGTTTCACGAACTCGTAATCTCATTATCTTCATCGCCATGTAGAGGAGATGATCTGGAGTTACACCACGACGATCAGCACGCGTCAGTTCACTGGAGATTATCATAGAAGGTGTTACTTTCAGACCTTCTTTGAAGACTCTAGGTTGGCCGAAATAAATACAGGGGAAGGACAGCTCTTCAGCGTTTCCATCGTATAATCTGCGATCAGCATCTTCACCCTCTTTGTCGTTTTTGTTGAGGTACTTGTCGATATTCCATAGCAGTGTATGCTGTTCTGCGATGACACTGTCTCTATTTGGCTGATGATAAATCATTTCGTTATCTCTTTCTTTGCTGTTTGATTTTGTATCATTGAAGGACTCATCAATCGTGATGTCATGGGTCTTATAGAGGGAGGACGTGGCTAAATATTGTAACCAGGTGACGATATCTTGTTTATTCACCGTCTCAGTGAAATGATTCGTTCTCCGAACTTGCGTTCGTTCGATATCAACATAAGTACAATAGACATCATTCATATCTCTAGGCAAATGGTGAACCATATTATTCTCTGCTACCGGAATATTGATAATCTGAATGAGTTTTTCAAAGTGAGTATTCACATGGCGTAGTCTTTGGATTTTTCTCAAGGGTATTCGTGGAGAAATGAGCCTCTCTGATATTGGATCCAACTGAGGAAGATAATCTGGTCTCTCTGGATATTGGAATCCATTAGATTTAGCGAAGATGGGGATGTGATTGTAACTCAGAGAAGTCGTGCAATGTTTGCAGATTATCATGTTGTCTAGGTCCGCCTCGGGGAAGTCTACGGAGACTAGTCTTTTGAAGTGATTAGGAAGCCTCGTCAGGTCGTTTTTGAACCAGAGGCGGTCGCAGATGTTGCAGACTAGACCGAATGGGTTTTGCACGAATTTTCTATTAAATTCCCGATGGCCACCGAAATTTGCATTGAAATCAGTGTAAGGTAGAGGATTGTTACTTGAAATTGTGGCATCAGACGAATTCATTATCACCTCGGTGGAGGTGATTTTGGGTTTATCAGGTGTCGGTAACTCTGGTGATACTGTTTGCCGGTTTTTTATCAATGATTTTCGCTTTGTTCTTAAGACTCTCGTACATCCAATCGGAGTCACTGCTGTTGTTACTCCCGCCGTTTGTTTTATTTATTTCTGCAGACGCTCTCTCTCCAGTAGTGATTTAGGCCGATTTGAGTTATTCGGTATGATTGCTGGAATTTATGGAGGGAATTGTAATGAACTTGGCTGGACAATGTGGGTATTGATCAATTGTAGGGGAGAGTCGAGATGAAGGAAACGGTTTGACTCTTAAAGTAACTATCGATTTTTGCGTTACTAACCTTATTTTGACAGCATCAAACTAGAAACTGAATAATTAACGAGTCAACACTCGCTTTCACTCGGCGAATGGTCGAGAATTAGCGACATGATTGAGGAGGAAACACTTGGTGTTTCCTACGAACTGTCAGAATGGGTCAGACAATAATAAAGTAGTGAATCCTGTGCTGTATACTAGCCGAAACGAAAGGACGTATGTAGATATGAGCTTTTCAAGTAATTGGGCGTCGATGAACTCGAGATAGTCTGTGACAACGATTGATACAGTCCATCCCTGCACTTCCGTCCACAGCAGTTTTATTATTATTATTATACTCAGTCTTAAGGCCATCACCACACAATTCCGTAAGCTCGTGAGACGCAAGCGTAGCGAATAGGCCAATTAGGGATGGGTATTTCCCCCCACCATTTGCGTCTGTAAACGTAGAACGCAACGTCGATAAGTTCCGTAAGGATGAATTTTTCACGACAACCATACTTTTTAACAGGGACTTGGAATGAAACTCTGGAACGGAACGAAATTGCCGTTTTTGCATTTCGTTCCGTGGAACGTTTGAGGAGCGAAACGAAACTCGGAACGAAATCTCTAGAACGTTCCCGCTTGGAACGAAACTCGGAACGAAATGTCTGGAATGTTTGGGCTTGGAACGAAACCCGGAACGAAATATCTGGAACGTTTCGGATTGGAACTAAACACGGAACGAAACGTCTGGAACGTTTCGGCTTGGAACGAAACCCGGAACTAAATGTCTGGAACGTTTCGGCTTGGGGCGAAACCTGGAACGAAATGTCTGGAACGTTTCGTCTTGGAACGAAACCCGGAACGAAACGTCTGGAACATTTCGGCTTGGAACGAAACCCGGAACGAAAATCGCGGAACGTTACAGCTTGGAATGGAATTCGGAACGAAATGTCTGCAACGTTCCAGCAGGGAATCAAAGT